TCTATCAAGGAAGAAAATGTATCAATCAGTCAATCAACAAACATTTAATTAGGTGTCTGTTAGTCACTGGGGAGACAGAGACAAAAAGAGCCCCTCTGTTCCATCCACGGGCTGGCATAAAGCTAGGAAGGTGAACAAGGTTGCTTCTTTTCCTTAGGTGAAGGAGTTTCTTGTGGACCACTACCTGCACACATACCTCCAGGCCAACAATAAAACTCCAGTTACAGTGAGGCTTCCTCCGACATCAGCAATATAAGAACCATATAGATGAGCAATAGAGATGGTCTATTCAACCAATCACCAAGCATTTAGTAAGCATTTATTCTGTGTCTGGTACTGTGGACCACAGTGAAACCATCCCTGCCCTCAGGGAGCTTCCATTCTCTAGGCTCCTAGATTCAGATCCGGAAGAGAAGCTCTGGTTGAACCCCTTTCGTTTCCAGCATAAGGAAACTGAGGCCCTGAGAGGCTCAGTGACTTTCCCAGTGTTACACAGGTAGTACGTAGCATAGCTGGGTGTGCAGTATATTTTATAGCACATAGGTGTTTGCTAATTGTCTCCTCTATTAGAATGTAAGCCCCTTGAGGGCAGGGACCATTTTCAGTCCTTCCTTTTCTCCCAACTGTGAATGTGCTAAACTGACTTGGTAGGGCCTGGGAATTCCCTACCTGACTTCCTGATATAATAGTTAACTCTTTGTAAGTCCAGGGGGCCCCTTCCTTTGTGGCCTTGATTGATTTAAAGAGGTGTACTGGCCCTGTTGCACTCAGTTTTGATTGTTTGATTCAATCAAAAAGTGTCTTCACCTAGTCACTGGAGCTAACTTTGGGTTGTTGGTTTCAACTCCACCCTTAACACTTACCTCCAGGTCTGGTCCCCATTCCCCGTGAGCTAAATCCCTCCATGCTACAGGCAGATAGAAACTCCTAAAACTTTCTGTTGATCAAAACTTGAAGGGCAGGGGATGGGAGATCGAAGCCAGTTTCATTTGCTTCTCTGTTTCAGTCCCTTGGGCCTGAGCCCCGCAAGGATGCTGACATAGAAGAGGAAGCCCTGAAGAGAAAACTTGGGGAGCTGACCAGCAAGGTCAGTGACAAGGGAGGGTCTTCAGAGGAAGAAGAGGAGGGCCAGAGTGGGCTGAGCCCAGGAGGGAGCTCTGTACCTGACAGCAGACCCATCGAGGCACAGCAGGTTGGTAACCACACCCTGGGCTATTGTAGCACTGACTTCTTGGCCCTCCTGCCTGGCCTGGTGAGAATGTGTTAGGAAAGGAGCATGATACCAGCAGACTTACTAGACCACTCATCACCTGCCAGCCCAAGAGCACCCCAGAAGGAATAGGGCTAGTTACGGCGTTAGGTGTCTCAGGCTGGGAGACATCTAGTCCATCCCATCCTGAATAAGAATCCCCTTTCCCACATTCCTGGGAAGCAGTCAGGCCTTTGCCTGAATCCCTACAGTGATGGGGAGATCACTACTTGTTCCATTTCTGCACAGTTCTGATTGTTGGGGAGTCATTCCTTATATCCAACCAAAATCTCCCCCTCTGTTACTACCACCTATTGATCCTAGCTCTGAACTTCGGGGAACGAGTTTGCCAGGGACAGCCCTTCAAAGTCTAGAAGCCAGCTTTGTGCCCATCCCACCCCTGTCTTTTCTTCTCTGGGATAAGCGATCCCCGTTCCCTCAACCAATCCTCCTATGACCTCAATTCGAGGCCATTCACCTTCTTTGCTCTACGCTTTCCAGGTTCATCAATGTCCTTCTTAAAATTGGGCACCCAAGATTGAATGCAAGACTCCAGGTGTGGGCTGACCAGCGACCATTACCTCCTGGTCCTGGACATTGCTGCTCACTCTTAAAGGAGCCCAAGATCTCATTGGCTTTTTTGCCTGTCCTGCAGGACTCTGGACGCCTATGGAGCTTGCAGTCCCCTAGAACCCCCAGCTCATCTTCAAATGAGTTTCCAGCTAGCTAACTAGCTAGTGAATAGGGTGCTGGACTCAGAAAGACCTGGGCAAGTTACTTAACCTCTGTCTGCCTCAATTTCCTCATCTTCAAAATTAGAATAATGCTACCTGCCAGGGTTGTTGTGAAAATAAAATGAGATAATATCTGTAAAGTGCTTGAAAGCCTTAAAGAAATGTCAGTGATGATGATGATGATGATGATGAAGAAGAAGAAGAAGGAGAAGAAATGGATTTTCCAAAGCCACTTAGTTTGGGTAATGGGTCTACACTGATCCCCCCACACTAAACACAAGGGCCTAGTCATTCCATCTATAGCCATGGAATGGGACAAAGCCAGCTGGCCCACACCAGGATCAAACATGACTTTAACCTCATTTGTTGCTGCTCAGTTGTTTCAGTCATGTTCAACTCTTCATAACCTCATTTTAGGGTTTTCCTGTCCAAGATACTGGAGTGGTTTGCCATTTCCTTCTCCAGCTGAGGAAACTGAGGCAAATGGGATGAAGTGACTTGCCTAGGGTCACCCAGCTAGTATCTGAGACCAGATTTGAACTCAAGAAGATAAGTCTTCCTGACTTCAAGCCCCAGGCTCGATGTGCATTATGGCGCCCCCTAGCGGCCCTGTTTTGGTCTCACTGGCCCCGTCCTATGGGAAAAGTTTCCACCAGTTCTGTTAGCCACTCTCAAGGGTGGACAGACCCCAAGGATGTGCCTTTAGGGCCTGCCATCTGAGACAATCTTTCAGAACCTGAGAATAGGAGAGGGAATAAAGGGGAGGGAAAAAAGGCTCAATCCCTGCCCTGTGAGATTCGAGTGAAAGCTTGGGGGTGTTTAGGTTGGAGAAGAGAAGCCTCAGGGAGGCAGTGAAAGCTGTTTTCAAGCATCCAAAGGACTACCACAGACAAAGGGGATTAGACCCGGCCTTAATGGCCCCAGAGGAAAGAGCAAAGAGCCTTGGGTGGAAGCTAAAAAGTTTGGCTGATGTCAAGAAAAACTCCCAACAGCTAAGTACTATCTAAAAAATGGACTCTGGGCTGCCCACCCCCAGCCCTGCACAGAGGTCTTCAGGCAAAGACTGGATGCCAACTTGGCAGGCAAGGGGATTCCTGTCCCTTATGGGTTAGACTAGGGGGTCCCCCAAGACTCTTCCATCCCTGAGTCTGGCCTCCCACCAAAGCATGGACCCCTCCACTCTGTGTATCCTTAATGTCTCAGAGTATCTCCTCCCACCAGGCAGATTGCAGCCCTCCATGCCTGGTGGATGGGTTTTCATCAACTTCCATGACCTGGTGCCCAACACTCAGGGCCTCCCCACGCTGAACTGGACTGGTTCTCAGACGGCAGATATTCAGGCCAGCATCAATGTGCCAAACATGTTCACCTCCATCTACCCATTACGCCAGCCCTCTCCAGCTTGATCAAACATGCAACATTTTCATTCCACTGATTTGAAGACCCCAGGGTCCTCTCCAGGCCTCCCTACAATGAGGCAAGGGAGAAGGATGTTAGTTCAGGATTATTCACAATAACTGCCATTTGTGGGGACAGAGACAGGACCTGTGATTTCATTAGCAGAAAGAACTCATTCTGCTCATGCAGTCGGGTGACTTGGAGGCTTAAAGAGAGTTGCCCAGAGCGCCGAGGAGAGGCAGAGACTTGGACAGAATCCCACTGCCAGTATGTGTCAGAGATGGGACTTGAACCCAGGGCTTACTGGCGTCTGCTCCAGCTTTCTATCCACAACCCTCCACACCCCTCCATCTCTCCAGCTTCCTCCAGAGACAATGATCGACAGATCAGAGATTTATAGCTGGAAGAGATCCTATAGACATCTTGTCTGACCCCCTCATTTTACATCTGGGTTTACACTGTAGGTGGATAGCCCCACGTCCGGTCCCAATCTGAATCAGGCTTTTACTCATGTAACTAAGTCTCCTCTGTCCTATTTTCTCCAGGCTGGCCAGACACATGGAGGGGAGAATAGGCTTCTTGACCTTGAGGAACAAGTCCCACGCACCAGAAGCCCTGAGTCAGCGCTCTCGGAGCTGGAGGACAGAGTGACCTTGACGGCCGCTGAGGTTCAGCACGCGAAGAGGGAGGTAATTGTCAGGATGTCTTATGCCATGTCTGCAAGGATTTATTAGGATCTACTCTGTGCTGAGCACTAAGTGAAGCTCTGAGGACACAAAGAAAAGGGGGGAAATTACATTACTATTCTATCAATCACATACGTATATGTGTGTGTGTGTGTGTGTATACATATTGTATATATATAACAAATTTGCAGCTAGGTAGATAGATGATAGATAGATGGATAGCTAGACAGATAGATAGATAAGAGATAGATAGATAGATGGACGGAAAGAAAGATAGATGAGTGAATGGATGGATAGATAGATAGGTAGCTGAGACCTGTGCTTTCACTAGTATATTCCCCAGCATATCAATTAATTTAAAAACATGGTTCTGAGAAGGGGTCTCTCAGGCTTCACCAGATGCCGAAAGAATCCGGAACACAAAAAGAGGCAAAGAACTCTTGGGCTGGAGCATGCTGATAAGGACTGTTCTCAGGTTTCATTTAGCGAGCCAGATGACAAGGGGTCTCTGTATGTATTTAACATGTGGGTCTTGTCATAGGTGTCAGATATAAAATCTCGAATTGCTGCCCTCAGCGCTGCTGGACTCCTTGTCAAGACTTGGGAGAAACCAAGGAATAAATCAAACCTACAGGTGGGTAGAAGGCAGTGCAGGCTGGGCGGGGCATGGTGGTAGGAGTGAGAAGATGGAATCACTGTCCACCATAAGCCAAGCCCCAGCTGCAGCTCTGAGAACCCAACAGGAATGCCAGGGGTCACTGCTCTGCTGAGTATATGGTTTAGATGTTTGTTGGGGGTTTTTATTTTCCTGTATCTCTTGGTGATACTGCATCTTGGAGACTCACTATTAGGTCTTTTGCCACCACCAAAAAAAAAAAAAACCAAAACCCACCATTAATATTATTGTACATATTGGGCTTCTTCCTCTTTCTTGATTTCTTTTGGGCATGGACCTAACAGCATATAGCTGCGTCAGAGAGCGCACTTTTTGTGTCTAATTCCACATTGTTTTCCAGAATGGCTGGACCAGTTCACAGCTTCATCAACAGTGCATCAATGTGCCCGTTTTCCCTCAGCCCTCCCAACATTTATTGTCTTTGCCAATAGGATAGGTGTGAGGTGGAACCTCAGAGTGGTTTTCATTTGGTTTTCCTCTAATTATTAGCATTTGGAGCGTTTTTTTCATACAGCTATAGACAACCTTGGTTTCTTCTCTTGAGAACTCCCTCATCATATCTTTAGACTGTTTATGACTTGGGGAATGGCTCTTAATTTTAATATTTTGAATCAGTTCCTTAAAAATGAGACCTTTGCCAGAGAAATTTGTTGCAAATATTCTTCCCAATCATTTGTTTCCCTTTTAATCTCAACTTTATTGAATTTGTGCAAAATCTTTTTAATTTTCAGTAATTAGAATTATCTCTTTTATGTTCCGTGATCCTCATTAATCCTTGTTTGGTCATGAACTTTTCTACTATCCAAACATCTGGTGCATAAATTTTTTCAATATTTCTCTAATTATTTATGCTGAGACCTTTTGTATCTAGGCCACAAGCCCATTTGGAGCCTATTTTGATGTAAGGTATGTGAGGTGTTAGTCTAAAGGAATTAGGATTAGAAATGGAATTAGTTACAACCCTAATTCTAAAACATCACTGTGAATAGAGCACTGGACCTGGAGTCAGGAACACCAGAACTCAAATCCAGGCATCAGCACTTACTAGCTGTATAACCCTCCACAAGCCACTTACCCTTCTCAGACTCAGTTTCCACATCTGTAAAATGGAGAGAAAATAGCACTTACTTTGCATGATTATTGTGAGGAGGAAATGAAATAATGTTTGTAAAGTACTTCACAAACCTTAAAGTGCTATATAAATGCCAATTATTATTATTATTAATAATTAATCTAATTTCTTCCATGCTGCTCACTACCCTAGAAGTTTTGATCACAGAGTGGGTCCTTTCCCCAATAGCTGGGGTCTTTGGGTTTATTAAAACTAGGGTTCTCTGTGGTATTTACCTAATCTGTTCTGCTGATCAACTTTCCTATTTTTAACCAATGCCAAATGGTTCTGATAATTACTACTTTATCATAGAGGGCAGCTAGGTGGCACATCAGCCCTGGAGTCAGGAGGACCTGAGTTCAAATCTGGCCTCAAACACTCCTAGGTGTGTGACCCTGAGCAAGTCACTTAACTTAAATGTGTATGTGTGTGTGTACACACATACACACAAAACACACACACACACACACATACACACACACACATACACACATACACACACACACACACCCCAGTTGTCCTTTTAAGGAAAGGGGAATGGTTGAGCAAATTGTGGTCTATGTTATATAATAGCATGGTGCTGCAAGAAATGAGGAACTAAATGATTTCAAAGACACATGGAAAGAAAGACTTGTATGAACTGATGCAGAAGGAAATGAGCAGAACCAGGAGAACAATTTAAACAGTAATAACAATGCTGCAAAGATAATTCTGAAAGCCATAAGAACTCTGAACAAGACAATGACCATGATTTCAGAGTGCTGCTTATAAAGCATGCTGTGCACCTTTTGGCCAAGGCACAGAAGGATGCAGAATGAGGTAACTTAAAAAAAAAAAAAAAACACAGCCATTGAGGAATTGTATTTGCTTAACTATGCATATTAGTTGCAAAGCATTTGTTTCCCACCCCCAATGGAAAGGAAGAGGGAAGGAAAGAAAATATGTTTTTGTTAATTTTTAAAAACTTTAATATGAGAGGAAAACAAAACAAAAAAGGCTCAACATTTGGAATGAATAATCCTAAGTTCAGAGCCAGAAGGTGCCCCAAAGATCATCCCTCTAGTCCAATCCCTTCACTGATACTTGAGGAAACTGAGGCTTAGACTTGGTTGAGTGACTAGGATACAAGCATCACAGATTTAGGGCTGGAAGGAGCCTTCCAGGTTGTCTTCACCAACCCCTTCATTTTGCAGATGAGGAAACTGAGACCCAGAGAGGTTAGCTGATTTGCCCACGATCATACAGGCAGGAAGCATCAGAAACAGGACCGTACCCAGGTCCCTGACTCCAAATCCAGGAGTCGCCGATCTGCCTCAGTGAGTGGGAGTTTCTACACTAGTGAGTCCTCAATCTATGCCACAGGCCTAGACCCAAAAAAATGCCAAAAATTCTATTATCAACCTGACATTGCTTAATGTGTTTGGTTTTTTTTAACGGAAAGCCACAATGAAGGGTAGTGGAGGACGACACTAGATTTGGAATCTTGGAGTTTAAATTCCAACTCTGTAAGCCTAAGGGTGGCCCTCCTTCCCTCTGTGCCTCAGTTTCCTCATCTATAAAATGAAGTGGTTGATGCAGACAGCCTTTTAGGTCTCTTCTAGCTCTAGGCCTGTGACCTCTCTGAGCCTCAGTTTCCTCACCTGTCAAATGAGGGGGTGGATCTAGTTATCCTCAGAGGCTCCTTTAGCTCTGGAGTGAGGACCTAAATTCATGGTCATCTATGGGGAAATCCCCCACACAGCTAGGGGCCGGAGCCGTGCAGGTGTCACGAGGCAGCCACTGAGATGTCTCCTTTCTTTATTCCTAGATACTTCCCCTGCAGCCCCCCAAGAGCAGCCTCGGAGTCGAAGAGCCGGAGCTCTCTGGGGCCAACAAGGTGAGTAACCCCCTCATCCTGACAAGAAGCCAGAAGAGGAGAGGAGAAAGGAAAGATGGAGGCTCACGCCAGACATCAGGAAATAGGATCGACCTATTTAGATTTAGAGGCCCTTTCTAAACTCTTATTTCTGTTCCGGTCTTTGTTTCCAAATACATCCTTCCCCCTCGCCCGTCTTATCCCTTCCAACAAAGATGTTATTATTTTTAATAATGTTTCATTTCCCCCTAATTATATATAAAACAATTTTAACGTTCATTTTTTAAAAATTTTGAACTCCAAATTTTCTCCCCCCTTCCTTCCCCCTTCCTCCCTGAGACAGCAAGTAATTTGATATAGATTATATAATAACAAAAATTTTAAAAGAAAGGGAAGAAAAGCTATGTGCAAAATCAATAGACACATTAATGGTATCTGACAACGTATGCAATATTTTACACCTATAGTCCCCCACCCCTGCAAAGAGGGAGAAGAAAGAGTAGTATTCGTAAGCCATTAAACTTAGGGGGAGACCTTTGGGGGTCACCTAAATGGTGGATTATTAATTTAGTCCTGGAAGAGAGCTTAGAAGCCAGCTAAACAAATCCTTCATTTTACAGATGAGGAAACTGAGGCGCAGACTTGCCCAAGTTTACACAAGTAATAAGTAGCAGAGTTGGGATTTGAACCCAGGTCCTCTGACCCTAATTCCTCTGTGCCATACACTCAGTTCTCTTTCTAGTACCACTCCCATGCTGTCTTTTTTACCTTTGTATATTTCTGATTAATTAAACATTTTCACTTGATTAAAGCAGTTCAGGAAGAGATGGAGAAAAGCACTCAACAAGAAAAAAAATTACCCACATGCAAGTAAGAATTAGGGCGCTAGGTGGTGCCATATTGCACAGAGTCCTGGCCCTGGGATCAGGAAGACCTCAGTTCAAATCCAGCCTCAGACGCTTGCTAGCTGTGTGACCCTGGACAAATCACTTCACCCTGTTTGCCTCAGTTTCTTCATCCATAAAATGAGCTGAAGAAGGAAAGGCAAGCCACGCCAGTATCTTTGCCAAGAAAGCTCCAAACGGGACCATGAAGAATCAGACACAACTGAGAAATGACTGAAAATAAGAATTTAAAAGTGGAGGATATTCAAAGTAACATGGATAGGTCTCTTCCCTTCTGACACTGATTATTCATTTTATGCACAAATGAGTCTTTAAAAAAAAGTCTTTAAAAAAAAAGACCATCGGTACGGGGCCTCCTCTCTTCTGCCATGCTTAACAGCTGCTTTTATCGCCTGCCTAACCTCTGCCCTTGCTGCTTGAATCTTAGAGCCAGCCTGGTATTAGGTGAACGATCTGAGCATGTTGAAGACTGAATAGACATGGCGGCAAGGCACCACTGGGTCCACCCAAGTGGTGCTTGAAGTTGAGATACAATAGGAAGAAAGCCTGACCCATGACTGTGTTGAGTACACCCTACTCAGCTAAGGGAGGGTAATAGGCAGAAGGATGGCCAGCACCAGAAAAGATGATGGATTTCTACTTCATTTTTTCTCCTCCTTTTCTTTTGTCTCCAACTATACACCCAGGATTGGACTGGTTCCATAGATCAGGCTAAGGACAACCTCATGAAGTCAGACCACCAAATGACATCTCAAGATGTCAGTCCTTCCTACTCATTATCTCTTATCTCCTTCAGAAAAATCTTGTAATTTCAGGTTCCCCACAGTCCCCTGCAGAAGGGCCTGAATGCCCTATGGCCCAATGGTTAATCTTAATTGGCAGATAAATAGAGTTTTCACTGTAAGATCTTAGCTAAGTGTCTCAGTTGATTATAGACTGTAGATTCAGAGCTGGAGTGGGCCTTCAAAGGCTCTCTGGCTCAACTCCCTCATTTGGCAGATGAGGAAACTGAGGCACTGAAAGAAGAAGAGATTTGCCCATTTGTGTAACCTTAGATCACCTCCCTGGCCTTAGTTTCCTCATCTGTGAAATGCAGAGGCTGGATTACAGGAGCCCTGAGGCTCCTTCCAGCCCCAGATCTATGTTGTTATGAGTCAGAGACTAGACATGAGTCTTCCTGACTCATAGAATCATAGATTTAGAGCTCGAAGCAGGGGCACATGGGAGCCAGCTTCTACCAGCTCAGGTAGATAAATTTTCAGGGTGAGCATTTATGCTTCAGAACCTGAAGATCTGCTAATACTTCAAGCATTGATTTTTCCCTCACTCCCCTTTCAACCTCCCAAAAGGAAGAATTAACCCTCAGGATTCAATGAAGACTCAAGCCAAAAGCCTTCTTTTTCTTATAGGTAATGGCTAGGCCAAATGTCCAGAGGAGAATATTCAATAATTCTCTCCAACTTCAAGGTAAGGATCATCGGGTCTGCCTGCTGGGGGAGCCGAGAGGAGGCAGGGACCTCTGAGAGAAATATTTAGGGAACTGAAAAGAAGCAAATTGTGGGGACTTGTAAGGGTTAAATGAATAGATTCAGCTTCCATTGCATGTTTGTTGTGGATACAAGGAAAACCCAACAGACTGGAGCCCTCGAGAAACTGCTCACTCTAGACTCTCAAGTTAAAGGTCTGCCCCTTTAAAACCTAAGACCATTTTGTTCTAAACACAACCCACACTTCCTGGTCATGCAGCCACTAGGTGGCAGAACGGGAATGAGAATTCCTCTCCTTGGCTGCCCCGTGCTGGACTCCGTCCACAATGGCCAAGGAGGCCATCAAAGTGCCCTCTCCTCATGGCCTTTCCTGCTCCCTCCACTGGTCAGGGCTCTTGAAGTCCCTCTGTACTGCTTGGGATATCGTTTCTATTTGCCCAGTATATCAGCATAGCGGTATATTGTATCCCACCTCAATAAAATGTAAACTCCTTGAGGGCAGGATCCATTTTATTTTATCTTTGTATCCCCAGTACCTAACTGAGATTATCTATTGTGCCGTAATGGATGAAAAGCCTCGTTCAATTGATTTGATTTGAGTTCCCAACAACAAAAACCCAACCCCCCCAAACATTCCCCCAGTACAGTTCAACAAAATCACCAGATATCATGCTTGCAAGAGACACATCACATGCCTTTTTCCACTTTTGTAGTTTGTTCATGGAAAACAAGGATGTGTCCTTTACCTTGGACAGCGTGGTACCAATCTTGCTCAAATCCCTCTAGCTTTATGGGGAAATCTCTTTGGCCTCTGTCACATGTTCCTCTTCCTCCTTCAAAGCCCAGGGGATGTAACGCATCGTTTTCTTGACGCCTCAAGGTTATTGTTAGGAACCAGCCACGGCTCAGTGATTCTCCCCACCCCCCACCTGCCTTTGGGGCGTGTAGCGCTGCTCGTCACTTCCGATGGCTGTGCTTGTGTTCTCAGCTGCTTTGAATAGTTTGGCTGTCTTGTTCTTTATGTCACTCCTCCCTGCTGTCCATGTGCCTGCCTCCAGCAGCACCTTTCTAATTGGCTGCTTCTAATCTGCTCTGGGCTTGGCCACCAGACCACAGAGGTGGTTAGAACTGCTTATAGAAATGAGTAAATGGGCTCCAAGGGAAGGCCTGAAGGAAGGGTGTGTGGATTTGGTGAGTTCCATTCAGGATGTTCAGGGAGCTTTTTGGTTTACTTTCTGGATCTCATCAGGGTCCCAGATAATTGGGGCAAGAAGGAACTGAATTCAAAACAGGGAGGGTGTTGCTATAACACCTTATTCCTGATCCTGACTGGGTCCATGAAGTCTCGCTCAGATTCCTCATCCCAATGATGAGGAATTCTCAAAAGCTTTACCCATAGAGAGCAAGCTCTCTCAGGCCTGGCCAGGCTGGAAACTCTTCAAGTGAAGTTCTGGGGATGGGCTCTATGTCTCTGGCCCAAAGAGTAGCCCGGGTAAGTTGAGTCAGGCTCCTCTCTGACGAGGGATTTGCTGGTCACAACTGCCCTCAAAGGCCATCTATGCACAGATCGGTCATGATCTGCTCTGGTAGAGGTGAGGATCCATCTACTCCAAAGAAACGACAGATCCTTGCAGCATCAAAGTGGGGGGGTGGCCCGGAGAGCATGCAAAAATGTATGAGTGTAGCCACATGCATGTATGCATGTGGGGTGATGTGAATGACAAAAATCTTGGAAGAAGTTAGGTTGTTCCAACTTTACTTCCTCAGACCAGGATTCCTAGGCCCATCTGAACTTCTATTGCTTAACTTCCCCTCACACACAGTGTTCCAATCACACTGGTCTAATCGATGATCCCTGAACTGGACATTGAACTTCCTACCTCCATGCCTTTGCATAGACTGTCCCCTATGCCAGGATTCTGTTTCCTCCTCATCTCCAACTCTCAAAATCTTTAGCTTCCTTCAGTGTTGAGTTCAGGTGCCACCTTCAACATGAGGCTTTTCATAATCCTCTAAACTATTAGCGCTTTTCCTCCAAGTTATATTTTATTTATTTAGCTGTTTGAAGGCCCTATGCCCCCAGTAGAATATGAGCTTCTTAAGGAGACAAATGGTTTTGCTTTTGTCTTTCTCCAGCACCTAGCCTAGGCACAAAATCAGAGTTTAATAAATGTTCGATGGATGGATGGAAGGATGGTTGGATGGATGGATGGATGGATGGATGGATGGATGGATGGATGGATGGATGTTGAAAGAGAACATTAATCTTTGGTCCAGGGTAAACAAAGTACAGACAAAAGTATTCCTCTGATATAATCTTGTAAGTTATGATTGGGCTTTCAGACAGCTGAGGCCACTGTCTGAGGTGCTGAGGGGGAAGGGAGGTTGCTTTGGTTGAAGTATCTAGGGAGGCTTATTCTAGAGACCAGCATGGAAACTGCTGTCTCTTTGAGAGTTTGTACCTAGCTAAGCGACTAAATCAAACCTTTTGTTTCCCATGAAGACAGAGTTGATGGCCCTTTCAGCCGAATACCAGTTTACCGAGGGTCCTTGACCCAAAGAAATCCCAATGGGAAGAACAGAAGGGTGAATCACATCTTTGCGGTAAGGCTTTCACCCCATTCAATTTCATACTTCAGCCCAATGAGCCTATTGTCTGCACCTAAATACCCATAATATGGGCCAGCTTAGTCTTAAGCCAAGCTAAGGTGAAAAAGAAGATGGTCAAAGATAACATGAAAAAATGGAATACTTAGTATCAGTCAACAAGCATTTAGTAAACACTAGGTGCTTGGCACTTTGCTAAGTGCTGGGGGTACCAAGAAAATGAAGACACAATCCCTACCCTCAAGGAGCTTACATTGAAATGGGAGAGATACCATGTATATAAACAGACATATACAAGATATATATACCAGAAGATGAAAAGTAAAATTGGAGGTGAAGGCTCCAGCAGCTGGGGGATGGGGAGTGGGGTGGCAGAGAGACTAGGAAAAGCCTCCTGGAGGGACTTGAGACTTGAAGGAAGCCAGGGATTCCAAGAGGCACAAGTGAAGAAGGAGGGCATTCCAGGCATGGGGGACAGCCAGGGCAAATGTCTGTAGGCATGAGATGAAACATCACATGTGAGAAATAACAAGCAGACAGACCAGTGCGGGTCTCTATAGCATATAGGAAGTGGAGTAAAGTAAAAAAAAAAAAAAAAGACCAGAAAGGTAGGAAAACGCTATGTTACAAAGGGCTTTAAATGCCAAATAGAGCAATTTATATTTACTCCTTTGGGTGATAAGGAACCAGAAGAGTTTGCTGAGTAGGAAGTGACATGGTCACATCTGCACTTTAGGAGAATCTCTTTGGTAACTACATGAAGGATGAGTTGGAAGACAATGGTTGGCTGCAGGAAGACGAACAATAATAATAATAATTAGTTTTATGATAGTCATAACTAACATTTCTGTGGTGATTTAAAGTCGACCTTTACCTGGTTTTGGTTCTTGGAGATGATCTTATTGATCTAACTAAAAGGTCATTGCAATAGCCTAAGTGAGAGGTGACGAGGGATGAATCAGGGTGGTAGCTGAAGGGTGGAAAAAAGGGGACTGGAGAGAGATGTCTTGGAGATAGAAAAAACAAGATTTTACATTAATTGGGAGGGGGAAATGCAGGAGCAAATCATCACCATCATCTTCATCATCATCATCATAGGTAAGGCTAAGAGAAAAATCATTAACCCAAATTTGCAAATGGGGATACTAGTCACTGAGAGGTTAATTGACTAATAATACAACAACCAGTTTTGCCTTACATGTGAGAATAGCAGGGAAGTTTCCCCAGGCTTAGAATTTCATTTGACTGGTTTTTAACGTGTGCTTGCTTTTCTTTTTTTGATACTCCCCAGAAACCTGTGATGATCCATCAACCTTAAAGAACACCTTCAACCTTGGAAGTCACATAAAGAATGACTCGTATTTCCTCCACTATCACTGCCATTGTTTTCTTCTCCCTCCTCAATTCTTTCCTGGAAAAAAGAGGAAACACTGCTTGTGTGGGATTCCAGCTTCAAAATAATGACGGTTGTCAGTTTTTCCTCCAGCCCTCTGCAGAGTGAACTTAAGAATTGAACTACATGTCCCATCACTTCCCAGACCACAGCAACCTACTTGCTACCTGATGCTGTCTCTTTCCAGCTGGACATAGATTTAGAGCTAGGAGGGACCTTAGGGAACATCTGCTCATGGGAACACAGGATCATAGATTTAGAGTAGGAAGAGACTTTTAATCCAATGCCTCCATTTTACCCATGAAAATACTAACATCCAGGAAGGGAAGTGATTTGCCAAGGTCACCCAGGTAAAAAATAGCAAAGCTGGGATTTAAACCTAGGCCCCTTAAAAAGAGGATATCAACCCTCAAAGGACCCATTTAGATACCTATTAGATGATCACTTTCTTGTATTGCTTTTCTAACCACTGTTGCTACTACCATAATGAAAAGAATGAATGTATCAAAGGCCACTGGAGATCAACATATATGAATGTGTGTGTGAGTGTGTGAGTGGGTGTATGTCTGTATATGTGTGTACACACACAGAGAGAGACAGACAGACAGACAGAGATGGGGGAAGAGACAAAGACAGACAGAGAGGAAAAGAGAGGGAAGGAGGGAGGGAGGGAGAGAGGGAAAGAGAGAAACATAGATTCACTTTAACTTGATGTTTCGATGAATCTCTAATTTTATTGACATGGCTACTACTAATATTGCTAATAATAATAATGAAAATAATAATAATAGCTCATGTTTATATAGCACTTTTTAAGGCTTGAAAAGCACTTTATAGACATCACCTCATCTGACCCTCACAATAACCCTATGAGAAGGGGCAACCATTATTCCCATTTTACAAATGAAGAAACTAAGGCCCAGAATGGTGGGAGACTTGCCCAGCAGCACATACCTAGGAAGCAGAGGAGGCATAATTTGACCCCGGGTCCTCCTGAGTCTCCGTCTAGCACTTGAGCTATGCTACTTCCACCAGGGCTGGTCGTAGTTTCCTCTTTGCTTTCATTCTCTGCACTGATTTTGTCTTTTCTCCACAGGGCTCTCACTGTAGAGAGAGCACCCCACCTGATTGTTTCAATGGCTTGGGGCGCCATGACACACTTGGGCTATTCATTGTTCTCCTCTCATGCTATGAGGTTGGCCTGCCTCCTCAGCTGGTCACTCAAAGGCATGTGCTTTATGACACCTCTAAGCTAACTCCCCACACACAAGTCATCCTGGGATTGTGTTGCAAGCTGCTTCTGTCCATTGCCCTTTGGGTTACTTAATAACATAACAAGTACCTTCCAGCAGTGACAAAGGCCGTTCTCCTTTGGCCCTGCTGCAAACTTCACCATGCCCTGGGTCTCTCAAACAAGACTGCACAGATTTCGTGGCCCCACTCTCCTCCTTGCTGGTGACTTGCATCTCACAGACATCCACCAACAGTCCCGCAGTAATGTCAGGTCCTGGAGGACAGGACCTGGCTCACCTTTGTATTTCTATCCTCAGCACTTAGCCCAGTGCCTGGCACTTAAGTAGGTCATGGAATCCTAGATGAGTCTAACTCCCCCATTTTATAAAGAGGAAACTGAGGCCCAGGGCAGGCAGGAAGGACCCCCATTACTGTCCTAGCATAAGAGTGAAATGAAGATAAAGCATCATCTCAGGCACCGGGACCTGAGTCGTCCCCAGCAGCTTTGGCCCATAATTTCATGACGCGCTCATCTACCCAGTTGTCCCTGAGAACTTCAAAAGAGATGGCTCTGACCCCAAATCCTCAACTAGGAAGTCGTTTCAGATAACAATCTGTTAATTTGATGCTAAGAAATATTCAAGGGTTCTTGGTCCCAGCCCGAAGGCGCCCATCACTCACTTCTCTTAGATACCAACAGAGGCTCCTGGATCTGGAGCGAGCTGGAAGGAACTTCAGACACCATCTGGTCCAAGCCCTTCAGTTTATAACAACTGGGATTTGTCCAGAAACAGCAGAAGATGCCCTGCGACTCCCACTGCAGCCTCCTTCCCCTCTGACTCTGCACTCGCTGCCGCCATCAAGGGATGAAAGGGACTCCAGGGGAGAAGGAATATTAGCAGTCCCTCGTGTGATCCATTCCTTCGCTTCTTAAAAGAGGAATCTGAGGCCTCGAGGAGGAAAGTACCTGCCCAAGGCCACAGAGATAGTGTGAGGCAAAGCCTGGATTAGAGCCCAGGTCTTAGACGTGGAATTCAATGTTGAGAACCTCGTCTCTCACCCAGAAATTCTAATTGCTTCCTAACTGAACTCTTGGCTGTCATTAGCCCCCTTCCAATTTTTTTTGGTCCAAATTTGTGACTGCATCATGGTGGGTAACTCCTAGTATGGGAAATTCTTCCACTGACTCCAGAGAACAACTCACTGGCAATTTGTTCCCAATTTCCGAAAGGTTCAACAGCTTAACCAGGGTCACAAAGCCAGTATGTATCCAAAATGAGGCTTGAGCCCAGATCTTTCTGGCTGGAAAGCTGACCTCTCTATGCTGTGCTGGCCACAAACCCCTGCCCATCCCAATTGAGCCTCCAAAACAAGTGTCCTAAGAAGCCAGGGCAGCTAGGTGGCGCCATAGCACATAGAACCTGAAATCAGGAAGACTCACTCATCTTCTTGAGTTCAAATCTAGCCTCAGATGGGCACTAGCTGTGTGACCCTGGGCAAGTCACTTAAGCCCATTTGCCTCAGTTTCCTCCTCTGTAAAATGATCTGGAGAAAGAAAGGCAAATCACTCCAGTATCTTTGCCAAGAAAACCCCAAATGGAGTCACGAAGAGTCTGAAATAGGTAACAACAAAGATTAAGGTGACCTTTTGTGACTCTCCTCCTCCAGAACTTTCAGTGTCTCCTTATTGCCTCTTGGATAAAATACAGCTTCCCCCCACCTTGCTGGGCATTTAATGCTCTTCCCAACCTGGCACCAGACCACCTTTCCAGACTCCTTTCACATCACCCTCCATCAGGCGATCCTTCCTTCTTGCTATTTCTCATGCACAGCAATCCACCTGCACCTCCTTACCTTTTCACTGGCTCAGCCCCTTTCCTGAAATGCACACCCTGCTCACATCTCCCCCTCAGGATAACAAGCACAACAATAAGACCTAGCATTTACAGAGGACTTTAAGATTAGCAAAAAAACTTTATGTATATTATCTCACAACAACCCTGTGAGGTAGGTACTCTTGTCCCCATTTTACCGATGAGAAAACTGAGGCTGAAAGAGGTCGTCTACAGCTAGAAGTCTACGTCAGGATTTGAACTCAGATCTTCCTAATCCTGCACTCTAGCCGCTCTGCCCCCTAATGCTAAAGATCCCTAGTTCCCTTCAAAGTTCAGCTCGGGTGCAGTTTGGCAGGTTCCCAGAAGTTGTCTGTATTGTAGCCCCTTGGGAGTGTGTGCCTACAAGGCCCCCACCCACCCTCCAGAAGAAAACTTTGGATCTATGGTCTTACTCCACCTTGGCGGGGAAGGTTTGCGGGAGGGGGGCAGAACTGATCTCCCACTATCTGTACACCTCACTGGCTGGGGGCCACGCCCAGGGTGCTGGAGGAGGGGCAGCCCCACACATCCATCTCTCTCCTGTGCCTATTCCTGGGGAGTGGGGAGCGTGCATTCCAAGAGGTTTGATCTCCTGCCCCACCTGGTCTTGCCCTCCCCCATGCCCCTACTCCAGCCCATCCCTGTGGCTCACCCCCGGCCCCGTCCCATCCCACAATACCTACTGGGGAGGGGCTCCAGGGGGTGCTACCTGGGGGGGTGGGGGGAGGCGGTTAGCTCCGTGCCCTCCCTTTATCTCATCTCCTGGGGTCGTAGATTGAGAACTGGAAGGGATCTCAGCGATTAGCCGGTCTGATGCCCTCATTTTATAGGGGAGGAGGCTGAAGCTGGGATGGGCATTGACTTGCCCAAGGTCACTAAGGCCTCAGAACTGGGACTTGAGTCCCAGCCAGGGCTCGCTCCACTGTAGTCCTCAGTCTCCTGGGTATGAAGCTCAGCTCTGTCACTTGCTATCAGGGCTAGCCTCGACAAGTCTCTCTGTTCCTCAGTTTCCCCATCTATGAAATGAGGACTTTGGGCTCCATGGTCTCTGAGGTCTACAATCCCTTGCTTCGATACCCAGTGCTCTTTTCACTGCACGCCTTGTCTCTGTACAGCCCTGCCTTCAAGGCGCTTTCTTCTACTGGGCAGGGAGATGAGGAGAGGGTACAAGGAGTCCACAGTTAGGTAAATATGGGACATATTCACATCTTTGCTGTTCTCTCAGTGAGTCAAAAGGGGGAACCAACAACTGGGGGGTCAGGAAAGGCTTCATGGAGGGGATCACATGAGCTGATCCTTGAAGTTAGGGGTAACAAAAGGCAGAAGCAGGGTGGGAAATGCCAAGCTAGGAAATATCAAAACCAAGATTCGAACCCAGGTCTTTTGCGGCCCATAGGTCCAGCATTCCTCCCAAAACACCAAGCCTGTTACCACTCAAGTGGCAAAGAAATTGACCTCACTCAAAAGATAAAACAAAGGACAAGTTGCAGACATCATCTGCTGCCACCTCTGCCTCTGTGGTCCTGGAATCACTTTACCTCCCTCAGTCTCCCCAGCCACCAGAGTGTGCGTTCCTCGAGGGCAGGGGCTGTCTTTTGCCTCTTCTTGTGTCCCCAGCACATAACACAGTGCCTAGCACATAGTAGGTGCTTAATAAATGTTGATTGATTGACTGTAAAAGGAGGGAGCCGGACTGGTGACCTTCTAGCTCTAATGTCATGGTCCCCTGGGCTATGTCTAAGGCCAGAAAACTTGAGGGAAGCAGATTGTGAAGGGCTTTAAACAGCAAGGACAATTTCTATTTGATCCTAGAGCAATAGGGAGCCAGTGGCATTTCATGAGCAAGGCCAGACTGTGCTTCAGGAAGCTCACTTGGGCAGGCTGGCACATGCTGCTCAGACCTCCAAGTCACCCGGGGGCATTCTGCATGCCATGGCCATGAGATAGACGGCTTGCTCTTCACATCCAAGATCGCCTTCCTTTGCCTTAAGTTGCACCCAATTGCTGTACCACATTGCCCAAGTGATGGAACAGTTAGCAGTTCTTCATCGTTCCTCCATGCTCAGGTAGCACCTGAAGGTTCAGGGTAGCTGAGCAGAGCCTCTCCAGGCCAGTTCTATGTTTCTTCTCACTATTGCTGATGAAAAACAAAGGAAAATAAATAGTTTGGCATTCAAGGTCCTTCATAATCTCATACCACCCTAGTTCTTTTTATCCTATTCTTCTCCCTTTGTTGCCCTCTCTGCTCCAGACTGCTTTGTGTCCTCAAAACATCCTTAGCACATTCCCACCTCGTGCTTTTACTCATGCAGTTCCCTGAGCTACAAAAACCCTTTCCATCCTCTTCATTTGATGAATTCCCATCCATCCTTTAAATCCCAACTCAAATTTGAGCCCACCTCTTCTAACTACATATCTAGTATTCTTTCTTTCCACACCACACTAGCTCTCAAAGTCCACATAGCGTTTTTCTTAACATTTTCTATGTAATCCCTGACTGGTTTAGGGCTCTACCAGCTATAGCCAAGGAAGAACTCCACAAGCTAGAAAGAACTGTATGGGGTTGAGCATCACCACCCCTAGTGGACACTTTGATAAGGTAACTAAGGACTTCCAGGTTCTGGGAATTGTACCCAAGAAGTAAGAATTGCCACAGTGTACTGGAAAATCATGCACTTGGGATCAGAAAGACCTGGATTCAAATTGTAGCTCTAACAACAGCTATGTAATCACAGTCAATTCATTTTACTTCATGAGCGTCAGTTTCCTACTCTGTAAAATAGGGATAATAAAAGTTATACTTGGAATTCTCTTTGTTCCCAGAGTGTTCTGGGGGAGGGGGAGATAATGGTCAGGAAGGGGAACACTTTCTTCTCCGAGGGATATACTTTCTTCTTGGGAGGGTTCACCACCACTTCCCCTCTCTCTCTGCACCTCACCTTATGACATTCTGTCAGCCCACACCACCTGGTGGCGCTGCTATCACCCCAAAGGTTCCATCACCATGTAACTCCTCTCCCGGGCCAATGCTTCCCACACAATTCTCTTGGCAAAGGTCAAACTATCCCATCTTCTGAAACCTTGCATGGACCTCATTTCTCCCCCAATTCAACTATTTTTGCTATCTGGTGAAAAAAGAAATCATAAGATCATAGACTTGGGACTAGAAGGGACGTTAGATGTTATCTTATACAACCCTCCTCAGAGATGAAGAAGCTGAGATAATGAGTGGGTTAGATGACTTACCCAAGATCTTACTATGAGCCAGATGCTGAGCTAGGTGCTGGGGATACAAATGTGAAAGTAAGATAGTGCTTGCCCTCAAGGGGCTTACATTCTACTAGGAGAGATGTGTTCATAGACACAGAAGTGCACAATCTTCTTTTTGTCTTTATATATTGACATCATTGTATTAGTTTGAAGATAAGGTTCAGAAGAAAAAATATTTTGAAGTAAACACAGGATATGTAAGTAGCAGAGACAGGATTTGAACCCAGGTCTCCCAGCTGGCAATGATTTTGACATCCCTTGCTAAGATCTCACACACCATCTTTAATGATGTTCTAGAATTCTAGCAGGCATTTAAGTCAAGGTCACCAGTCAACAATGTGAAGAATCCACCTTCTTCCCCTTTATAGAAACCAAGACATTTGCCCTTTTCTAGTCCTCCATCAGCTCTCCCATTCTCCATTTTTCCAAAGATTCTTAAATTCAGCCCAGCAATCATATATATGGATTCTTGCAGTGCCCTGAGCTATTTCTGGGCTTGAGGACTTGAAGTGCCTGAGGGAAGCTAAGGGCCTTCTTACCATCTCCTTTATCCTAGCTTTCAATTTGGGAACTCCCCTTCCCCTTTCTATCAGTCTCAAAAAGTCAAAATAAGAGTTGAATGATTCTACCTTTTCCCCTACATCCATTGCTAATCACTCCCAAGCAATGGTCCTATCCCAGTTCTCCCTCTCTCTCTCTCTCTCTCTCTCTCTCTCTCTCTCTCTCTCTCTCTCTCTCATTCACTTTCACATCATCAATCCAGGGAGGCAATGGGACATATGGGTATTTTTCCTTTGTTCCTACATAGCCAATAAAAGCCAGTACTAGAAATCCATTGCAAGCCATGATCTTGTTCTGGATTCTCCCACTCCTAATAGTCTTGCAGTACCACTTCCTTCTTCTGCTCTCATCCTCAGTGGCCAGCCTTTGCTTCTACCTCTTGCCCATGGCTTTTGAGAGTCAGCCAACAAGTTCCCTGTGCAGCCACATTGCTCTCCTAACTTATTTCCCTTTTTCTTCTTGGGAACCATTTGTGTTTGGATTGTCCCAGTTCTATTCTTGAGACCATTCCATTCCTCCTGAGCCAACTTGCCTTGAAGGAGGGCCAGGAGATCCTACCTTTCTTTTATCTGACATTTTAGAAATCTCCTCTTCCAAAATCAAGGCTGCGTATCCGTCTATGCCCTTATTGACCATGAAATCTAAGATTAAATGGTCATTTCCTCCCAAAATTCTTTTCATGTCTGTTCTCAGAAACCATCTCCTTCTTGCCTAATTGAATCCCATCTAGAATAGCACTTTTCCCTTCCTTCATCTTTTAAAGACAGAAACAGCAAAGTCATTGCAATGGTACACAAGGCTTGCAGGGCTACGGTCATAGATATCGATTTGCCTTTGAACTCTAAGGATAATGGATCTTGGAGGAGGTGAGTGCTAAGATGAGAATGCTTTATTTCCTGAGGGCACCAGCACATGAAGCAAAGTTAACCTTCTTAAAGGCTATTAAGTCTCAATGAAAATTTGGGGGGATCAAATTATATCCCTGGTGATTCAAAAAAACCAAATCCTCACCTTTTTTAGTGCATCTCCCCTAATGAGATTAGAGAGGGAGAGTGACGACAGTTGGTTGGAGAGAGGCTGTATATGCTGATGACCTAATCAGTGAAGGAGGATATAAGAAGAGGGGTCCTAGGAACACCAGCTCAGCGTGGGACTCAAACCCCAGCAGCAGCACATGCCCTAGAAGCTAAGTTCCTACCTTTCCTGAGCAACACAGTAAGTATACTCTACCCAAATGTTGCTACGGACATTGGGGAGATCCGAGCGGGATGAAGGAAATGGGCATCTACTGCCCTTCAACAGCCTAAGTCCTCTGAGGCTCTCTCTAGAGCTGCAATGGTGCTAGCTGGGTTGGGAATAGGGGAGTGAGGGAGGAAGAAGGCAGAGATAATGTGGGGAGATTGCTCTGCTCTGCATGCTGCCATGATTTCCCCACTAGGGCTGCACCTTCACGTGTGGTCATTGTGCAGGATACACTTTCCAATGGGTTTGGCTCACAGGAGAAGGAGTAAAGTTTCTGAAAGATCTTCTGATTTTCCCAGCTTTGGTTAGATTATTATGATATTATTGTTGCTAGCATTTCTATAGTACTTTAAGGTTTGCAAATTGTCTTACATATAGCATCTCATTTGATTTTCCCAACTCTATGTGGTGGGTGCTATTCTTATCCCAGTGTTACAGATAAGAAAACTGAATCTGCTAGAGATAAAGTGACTTGCCTGAGCTAGTAAGTGTCTCAGTCAGGATCTAAACTCAGATCTTCCTGCCTTTCAACCTCTTGCACCTCAAAATCAAATATTATTGACCCTGCCACCTGCGGAGATCAGAGATCAGAGAAGCTCATTGAAGACTGAAAACCAAGAGTGTAAGAGACGAAGTGGTCAGCAGAGGATTGTGGGTGGTTGTTTTTCAAAAGTTTTTATAACTTATAAATTTCAAAGCTTTTAAAACTAACGCACAAATTTCTTCTGTTGCATTTATGTTAAATATCACTTTTTTAATCTCTTTGGTTTAAGCCTATTAACTTCCTTTAGTTAAGTGATATAGTGAAAAAAACAAACACTGGGCTTGGTGTGAGAAGTCCTGGCTACTTATTAATTAAATTATTTCATCTTCTCCTCTGACATTCAGCAAACAAATCCAATTCAACAAACGTTTATTAAGTGCTTATACTTGTAAGATGCTGGGAGGACACAGATGTCTCATTTGATTCTGATAGTTACACTTGGAAGAAGATATTAGCATTCCTCATTTTACAGAAGAGAAATCTGAGGCTCAGAGGGCCTCAAAGACTGGATCCATAGCCACATAGCTGGTGTCAGAGGTGGAATTCAAACCCAGCTCTGAGGACCTGCACCAGTTCCCCTAGGCCCCATGGGTCCTCTGTTGACCTCTCCAGCTATGTTCTTTCTGAGAGGTACTGTAATCTATACCCATCGTCCAATGGAAATACATTTGATTTCTCCACTCTCCCGTGTTTCCAATGATGATGATAATCTGCTTTGTCTTCTTGTTTGAGAATAGAGACAAGTGACTTTTTCCAGACAATGATCTGTGATTCTATATTCAGCTGTTTGAATGACCTGAGAACAAGCTTATGATTTACATTTCGATATTCATAAGTATATTTTACATACTTATATATTTATATATTATATTTTTGTATATTTATATTTATATATTGTGTTTATATACTTATATTATATTTATATTATGTATTTATATTCATATATAATATATTTTATATATTTATATTATATATATAATATATATATTATATATACATATGTATAGAGGCAGAGAGAGAGAGAGAAGGACAGAGGAGAGCCAGAAAAAAAGACAGAGACAAAACGCAGAAAGAAGAGAAGCAGAGAGAGATAAGGAGAGACAAAGCTACAGAGAGGCATAGATAGAAGAAAGAGAAGAGAGATGGATGTGGAGAGACAAAGATTGTGAAAAACAACATAAAGAGAGACATGGAGAGAGAGCAAGACAGGGAAGAAATACAGAAAGACACAGAGACAGAGAGACGAGAAGCACACAGGGAAGGGAGTGACAGATGAAGTGATCTGTCCGTGGTCCCATGGCCAGTCAACATCACACCCCAGCTGCCTCCCAGGGGTTTGAGAATCTTTGTGGGCTCAAGAATTACGAGAGCTGATAGAAAGACAGGGCTTCAATGCTGATGTTGAGATGTTATCTCCATCAAGTTAGCAGCAGCATCCCTTAATGATGGCTGGCATCTCCGTGTCTCTTCAAGGTTTGCAAAGTACTTTCCAGACAGATCTCAAGCCCTGTGAGGGAGGTACTGTGAGTATTATTATCACCATTTTAAAGATAAGGAAAAGTGCCTTGAGAGCGGTCACAGTATCAGAGGCAAGTTTTCAGAAAGCGTCTTGTGAGCCATGTCCAACACTCTATCTTGACCACTGTCTTTCTCTATCATTGGAGCCTGCAACAGTGACGAATCCCCCAAGTTTCTGTCTCTCTCACTCATTCACTCACTCACTTTCACATCATCAGTTTGGGTAGGCAACTCAGGAAATGGGAAAGAACATTTGTTTCGGAGTCAGTGAGCCTGGAGTCAAATCCCGGCTGCCCAATTCTACCTGTGTCACCTTTAACAAGTCACTCTCTTTTTCTGAGCCTCAGTTTCTTCTTCTATAAGATGGGGGAGGGGGCAGGTGGCCTAACAGCCTCTAAGCCCTGTGATCAGAGCTGCCAGAAATATTCTCAACCCCCTCCCTCAAGTCCTCTGGCTTTCTTCACCCACAGGTCAGGTGCACATCTCACGGAGTTCTGGACTGACCTGATTGCCGGCAGAATTCAACACAATGAAACTTCTCCCAATCTGCCTCATGTATCTGCTGCTGACCTGCCTGGCCCTGCCCAAGGCTGAATGCAGGCTCCATGACCGCTCGGTGGAGATCAGGAGTGAGTACCCATTTGCTACACAATATAGCCCAAACTACCTCCACACCTTTCCTCCAGGACACCCACCAAAAAGTCCTGGGTTCCTTCTAACTTTAAATCTACGATCCTCTGGTCCTCTGACCTCTTCCAGCTCTAAACTGATATTATCATTGTGGGTTCAATGAAAGCACCCCCACCCTACCAGGCTGGTTCTCTACCATGTTCTACAGATGAAGAAAAAGAGGAAGAATTGGTTCAGTTTGCAGAGTGAGGAAAGAAGACAGGCTGGGTCTAGGGAACTGCTGTCTTCTCTCTGGAGACTTAGCCCAACTCAACACATTTATTCACCATGAGTCCTTGGAGCTCTGCAATGGGGGGAGGGGGCTCCTGCAGTTTGGAGGCCAAGTGCAGACATCTTCTTCCCTAAATTACCAAGGCCACAGCCATTGCCAAAGACACAGGAATGGCTGGTGCATTTGAATTAAGGCCAGGGAACCTGGTTACTGGGGTGGAGGTACCCACACAGATCTCACAACACAGTCTTTGTGAGTCGCAGTGGCCCCAGATCTCACCACTCTGAAGGTCATTGGGTCAGGCTGGTTCTTGGACACCAGGCCACGCTGGGCTCAAAGCCTTCCCGGCTGGGTAGGACCCGCAAGACCTCATGCTCGAACAGCATGGCTTTTAAGAGTGCAGGGTCAAGTCCCTGCCACTAGGAGGCAGCACAGAGCACTTCAGAGGCAGCTGTGCACATGAAAACACAGTGATTTTTCAGTGTGAAGACAGTCTCCATGTCCCATACTTTGTTCCCAAATGTCCTCACCTCATTTTGCAGGGGGTATTTTACAACCTCAGGTCCCTTGGATTCATAGTCAGCCAGCCAGCATTTATTAAGCCCTTACTGTGTGCAGGCAGTGTCCCAAGCACTGGGGACCGATACAAAGAAAGGCAAAGATGGTCCCTGCCCTCAAGGAGCTTACATTCTAATGGAAGAAACAACATGTGCACACACACACAATATAGAAGCCTAGAATCACAGCAGGAAGGGACCCCAAAGACTCCAGTCCCCTCCTTTGACAGATGAGGCACCTGAGTCCCAGGGGGAGAGAGGAATGGGTTTGGAGTCAGGGGACCTGGAGTCAGACTGTGGCTCAGCTCCTTCTTCATTGTGTGACCCGGAGCACTTCCCCAGGCCTCGGTTTCCTCATCTGTAAAATGAGGGGGCTGAACTAGTTGGCCTCTCAGGCCTTTTGGGTCTCTAGAGCCGTGATCTCTGAAGCTGGGGGGCTAGCACTCGGGATGCCCACTTGGAACCACGACCCCTTCCAGGTCCACAGACCCTCGGGGGCTCGTTGGTCACTAAGCAATGGTGAGTGTGTCCCCTCCCACTCCACAACTGGGCAGTTCCACGCTTCTTCTTTGGAGAGCAGTAGGCAGAAGGGTGAACTCTCAGCCCCATTGCATCTTATCAGCCTCCTGCCTCTTCCCTTGCAGACCCTGACATCGACCCTTCCTGGTACACGGGTCGAGGAATCAGGCCCGTGGGCCGCTTTGGCCGAAGGAGGGCCACCTCCGAGGGCTATCAGAGGTCTGCCTATGGACGGCGTCAAGCTTGCTTCCCTGTGGAGGAGAATAACGAGTCCACCCAAGACAACTAAGCCGCTTCTGTTGGGAATAAACCCAGATGCCTTCTCTCCCCTCTCCCTTCTCTTCCACTCGCTAGTTGCTTTCCCAACAAATAAAAATATTTGATCTTACTTAAATCAGTGTCTGTGCTTGAAACTGAAATAAACCAAAGAGTTGTGTGATGACCTGAGTTCAAATTCCACCTCCAATATTTACTAGCTGGGTGACCATTAAATTACTTACCCTCCCTGGGCTTCAGTCTTCTCATCTGTCTGACCGGGAGGATCACTCCTGTGGCAGCCACCTCACTGGGTAAATCTTCTCAGGGAGAGGAGGGGTTTTTTTATTCTCTGGATGCGGATCCCCAGGACCTTGTGCAGTGCCTGGCCCAGTGTAGGTGCTTAATTACTGCACGCTGATCAATGGGGTTATTATGAAGAGCCAATGAGATAATGCATCAGAGCTTTGTTACATACACAGTCAGGAAGCCTTGGGTTCAAACCCTGCCTCTGACATACACTTCACTGCATGACCCTGAGTAAGTCACTTTATTTCTCACCATGCCAGGTAACGCTCTAGGGTGATAAGTTATAGGTGTAACTTATCAGTGAAGGGTGTTTGCACACCAGCATTCCCCACATACACTGATGACGCACCGAACAACAACCACCCCGCCACCTGTAAAGCTGCAGATTCAAGTCACCTCGGATCCGACCTGGAAAGGTCAAGGGGTATAGGGGTCTTTGAAAACAATACTCTATCTATAGCATCGCAGGAACACAACTCTAGAACTGGAAGAAATCTCACAGCTTATCTCTCCCAACCCCCTTGTTTTACAGATAGGGAAACTGAGGCAAGAGGAGGGAAATGCCTTGCCCAAAGTCACGTGGGTAATAAGTGTCAGAGAAGGGATTTGAACCTAAGTTTGGTGACTTTGATTCAATGGCCTAGATTAGTGCCCATCCTCCCTTGGACTCTTAACTCCTTTTCCTCAGGTGGGCACTTTATTCCTGGCTCTCCTGGTTTGCCCTCCTCGGTTTTCACAGCTTTTCCTGGAGCCTCTCTGAGCAAACTGCTTCACTAGATGTCACATTGAGCTGCACAGCCTTCCCTCAGTGAACAAAGCCTCTAGGAAGACAACTCCCCAACTGTCGATTATGGGAATACAAGGGGTGAGGGAGATGCTGACTTCTTCAGTGCTCAGCTGATGGGAGCAAAAGTGGAGAAAGAAGGAAAGGAAGAGGAAGAAGAGAGGGGGGAGGAGGAGAAAGAAAAGGAAGGGAGGAGAAGGAAGAAAAAGAAGGGAGGAGGAAGAAGAAGAGGAGAGGGGAGGAGAAAGGGGGAGGGGGAGGAGGAGCGGTAGCATCCAAGGCACAGACCCGAGATGTTCCAACTTTTAAAAAATGAAGTTGTATTCATGGTTTTTTTTCACATCACCTCCATTTCCCAAGGTATCCCTCCTCTCAGAGAACCGTCCCCTCTAACGAAGAATAAAAAAGAGGGAGAAGAACAGTCAGCGAAACTAACCAACATATCAGAAAAATCTCGTACTATAGGCAGCATTCTACACCCCTCCCCCACCTCTGCAAGGAAGCAGAAGAAAGCCCCTTCTCCTGTCTCTCGTCTGGAGTCAACCTTGGAGACGTTCCACCCCCTTGGGAAGCCGGGCTTCCCCTGGGACCCCACAGAGACATTAAATTCTCTGCTTGCTCCCTGGGAGGCCCACTCAGAATGACGGTCGATCCCGGGGGTGGAGGAGAACGACGCTTTAAAAGACCCCTAGACCCTCAAGCTCCATGGAAATGGGAGTCATTCCAAGGCCCTGCCCTCAAAACTCCACCTGAGGTGACTGGGGTAAGTTTTATTCTCACTGTTTTATACATGAGGAAAACGCTTCTAAATGAGAGGTAAAAATGACCTGCCCAGTGTCTCGCCGTTGCTACGTGGCAGAGCCGACCCCAGGCCACTGTAGAGACTTCACACTGCTTCTCACCAGACAATCAGCTGGACGAGCCCAGGGGTCCAGGCTTTCAGCTTCCCCTGCACACCCAATCTGTAGGATGTGCTCACAGGTAGGGGGAGCCATCTGGCCACCCCAAGGACCGATCTCATCATCTTGGCTTCATTCACATTAGCTCTAAATAAGGAAAGGAATGAACAAAATGGCCACAGAAACACTTCACGGGTCAACGACTGAAGATGCAAGATGGCCTATTACTTTGGTCAAGGCTTGGAGCTCCTTGTAGGTAACTCCCAATGTGAAAAGTCCCTCCATGAACTCAGATCAGTGACCAAGATAACTAACAGTTGTAGAGAATCTCCTGGAAGATAATGAGAAGGTGGGACTTTCCCAGGCTGACACAGCCAGCGGGTGTTAGAGGCAGGACTTGAACCCCAAAGCTGGCTCTCTATACAGCTGGCCACATTGCCTCAACTGCACAGCGTTATCGTTGGTCTTCCTGGCAGGTGCAGAACCAAAACCAGGTGTTGGTGTTTTCTTTAATAATCACACAATCGCAGGATTAAAAGGGATGGCAGAGGCCGTCCTGGACAGGAACACTCTCTGTAACATGACTCACAAGTAGTACCCAGGCTCCATTCAGAGACCTCCAGTGACGCGGAGCTCACTCCTTTGGGAGGCAGCCCATTCCACCTTTGACCCGCTCTCTTAGAAACTTGTTAGTTCCACTGAGCTTCCATCTGTCTCTCTGGTCCTTCCATCCCTCCTCCCACAGAGCTCTGCAGAGGGCACCATCGCCCCAACCCAACACCAGCCTTTATGGCCCAAGAGACAAAAATCAGGCCCAAGACAAGGCAAGGGACAGGAAGGCTTTGTCTGGGCTTGAAAGCTGTCTGGCCACTTAGCCCGGGGACCAAATGCTTCTCAATATCAGTAAAGTGTTATTTCAGGGGTTCATTTATTAGAAACATGATCTAAGAGGCTTTGGAATCTGAGGGCCTGGGTTCAAATCCTGGCCCTGCCACTTATTAACCATCTGAAAACGAGGGGCCCACACCAGGGATTCCTTCCAGCAATGATGACGACAGCTCACATTCATTTGGTTAAGCTTCCCAAGGCACTTTCCATGTTATTTACGTCAGTCCCCTGACAGAATGGAAGCTCCTAAAGGACAGGGACCGTTTCATTTTCTTTGCATCTGCAGTACCCAGCGCAGTGTCTCGCACGTAGCAGGTGCTTAATAAATACTCATGGATTGATTGACTACCTCATTTGAACCTCTCAACCACCAGGTGAGGCAGGCGCTCTTGGGTCAGATCCGAGCTCCTCTTTGGCCCTGAATCAGTGATGCCCTGGGAGGGAGAGGCCGTGGTGTCCCTGAGAAGCTGTCTGGGGTTGGAGGCATGGAGTGTTCCCAGAAGCACGAGGCCCCGGCCCATTCCTCCCCTACAGGCTCCATCGGGAAGCATTCCTTTGAGGCCCAGTTATTTTCCTCCGATTCCTGGGAGGGGAACCTGCAAGACAGCAAGTCCAGCACATCAACAGTCAACCTTCGAGGTCCACACCGCCATAGCCAGGGTGGGTCTATCCATCAGGCAAGGCAAAGGCAATTTGAGGAATTGGCTGGAAGACTCATGTTCATGACCGGAGCCCAGCAGGAAGCCAGAGCAAGGGAAGGGCTCCCCACGGCGCCTGCCTCCCCCTAGTCCTGGCAGCATTTGCCCTTCCTTGCTCTGGCTGTCTCCTTCAGATCCACTGAGGGGCTCCTCTGCTGACTCTGGCCTCCATTCTCTTCTTCCCTTCTCAACAATTCACGAGCTAGGAAAAGAAGGAAAAAGAGACGGTAGGAAAGCGTTTGCCCAAGAAGCTAACGGCCCCCTCTCCCAGTTGAAAGTCACATTAAGGGATCTGTGCAGGGGAAGTTCCCAAATCAATGCCTCTAATTATTCATCCAAATCATCCCAGCTTTTCTCCTGGTCACAGAAACACTTGGAAGATGGACAACCCCATAGAGTGTATGGCTAGACTTCCTAACAAGACGTCCTTTCCTGTAAGCTTATGTTGTAGACCTCAAAGTTGGAGGGCTGCCAATCAAGCAATCAACATTTATTAAACACTTACTGTATACCAGGCCCTCTGCCGGGCACAGAGGATACAAAGACAAAAAACTAAAATATCCTTTGTCCTCAAAGAGCTTACATTCTCTCAAGGGATAGACATATATACATATGTGTGTGTATGTGTATGTATGTATGTATATATGTAAATGTATACATATGGGTATAGAGAGAGAGATGTATACATATACACACACAGACGTGTGCGTATAAAATCCTGTTTCTGGTACCTGTAAGCTATGTGTCCTTGGGCAAGTTGCTACCTGTCCCTGGACCTCATCCTCATCCATAAAATGAGGGGGCCGGACTAAAGGGCCCTTCCAGTTTTGAATCTAGTCCTGTGACCTCCCTTAGCCTCAGTTTCCTCATCTGTAAAATGAGGGCATGGACAGATGACCTCTGAACTACAGAGCACTGTGGACTTGTGAACAGCCAACGGGGAGCCCAGGGAGGAGGGCCTAGAGGACCAAAGCTGCTTGTCAATTTCTAGAAACTCACACGGGAAGTGCGTCTTCTGGTTCTCTTGTCTCTGAGCATCTCTGATCCCATCTCTGATTGTTTGCCTCCATTTCCTCAACTGTAAAATGGGGATAATGATAGCACCTACCTCACAAATTTGATATGAGGACCAAATGAAATAATAATTGTAAAGCATTTGGCACAGTGCCTGGCACACAGTTAAGTGCTCTGTAAATGTTAGCTATTATGATCTTTAGTTACTTACCTACAGCAATGAAGGCTTCAGTCACTTGGTAGTTTAATTTGGCTGAGGTTTCCATGAACAATAACTTCTTACTTTCTGCAAATGCTTTTCCCTCCTAAAAGAGAGAAGAAAAACTAAGTCTGACTTCGAAATCCTAGAATTTTAAAAGCTAACATTGATAGATGCCACTAGCATTCCTATTGGCTTAAAGTTTGCAAAAGCACTTTGGTTAGAATCCCTCGTATGCTGTTTCCTCACTTTCTAGGCAGAAGGGATATTAGCGATCACCTCCAACCTTCTCATTTTCCAGGTAAAGAAGGTGAGAGATTTACTGACATGCACTCAAGTCCATCCGCCTTGGATTACTGCCTCGGTAGGGTGGAAGGGCTTGTGCAGCTCATTGAAACTAGGAGCTGAGGCACGCAGGGTTATCCAAGATGGGCAGGTCATGGTGGAGAATTCTGACAAAATGTGATTCATTGGAGAAGAAGATGGCAAACCCCTTCAGTATCTTTGCCAAGAAAATCCCATGGACAGTGCTAAAGTGATCAAAGAGATGACATTGCAAGATGAGCTCCTCAGGTCAGAAGGTGTGTAATACACTACTGAGTAAGAGCGGAGGCCAGCCACAAGTAACTCCGGTACTGAGGAAGTGGCTGGGCCAAAGCGAGAAGGGAGGGCAGTGGCAGATGTGTCTGGTGATAAAAGGACGTCTGAAGCTGTAAAGATCAATATTGCATGGGAACCTGGAACATAAAATCTACGAACCAAGGCAAGCTGGATGTGGTCAAACAGGAGATGGAAAGATTGAATGCAGACATCTTGGGGGTCAGTGAGCGCAAATGGATGGGAACAGGTAAATTTAATTAAAGTGACCATTACCTATACTACTGTGGGCAAGAATCCTGTAGAAGAAATGGAGTGGCCTTCAGAGCCAACAAAAGGGTGAGAAAAGCAGTCCTGGGACATAATCTGAAAACTGACAGAAGAAGATCTGCTTGAACCTAAGGCAAACCACTCGATACCACAATGATAAAAGTCTATGCTCCAACCACTGATGTCAAAGAGGCCAACATTGATCAGTTCTATGGAGACCTACGTCTTCTAGAAATAATACTATAAAAGATGTCACATTAGGCACAGGGGATTGGAATGCTAAAATAGGTAATCAAAAGATAATTGAAATTAACAGACAAGTTTGGCCTCGGGGTACCAAATGAAGCAGGGCAGAGACTAATAGAGTTTCATCAAGACAACCCACTGGCCATAGCAAACACTCTTATAAACAACCCCAAAAGGCAACTCTACACATGGACATCACCATTGACCACCTGGTCAATATGGAAATCAGACTGATTCTATACTTTGCAGACAAAGGCTGCAAAGGTTCCCAGCAACCTTAAATGCGGTTTTTTATTTGTCCAGCCTGGCATTTCCTATGATGTACTCTTCATAGATGTTAAATAAATAAGGTGACCTCCTTTTCCAATTTTAAACCAATCAGTCGTTCCCTGTTTGGTTCTAACTGTTGCTTCTTGGCCCACATACAAGTTCCTCAAGAGACAAGTAAGACGACCTGGCACTGTCATCTCTTTGAGGATTTGCTACATTTTGTTGGGATCCACACAGTCAAAAGCTTTAGTTAAAACAAGTCCTGGAGCTGACTGTGGCTCAGATCTTGAGCTGTTTCTTACAAAATTCAGGTTTACATTGAAGAAAGTGAGGGAAACTACTGGGCTGTATAGGTATGACCTAAATAATATCCCTTACGAATATGAAATGGAAAGGATAAATAGATTTAAGGGATTCGATCTGGTAGATAGAGTTCCTGAAGAACTATGGACGGAGGTTCTCAACACTGTACAGGAAGCAGCAACAAAAAACATCCCAAAGAAAAAGAAGGATAGGAAAGAAAAATGGCGGTCTGATGAGGCTTTACAAATAGCTGAGAAAAGGAGAGAGAATGGCAAAGGAGAAAGGGAAAGATATACCCAACTGAATGCAGAATTCCAGAGAATAACAAAGGGAGATAAGGCTTTCTTAAATGAGTAATGCAAAGCAGTAGACGAAAAGAATAGAATGAGAAAAGCAGGAGATCTCTTCAAGAAAATTAGAGATATCAAGGGAATGTTTCACGTACAAATGGGCATGATAAAAGACAGCTATAGGAGAAGAGATTAAAAACATGTGGAAAAAAAGGACGCACAGAAGAACTAGACAAGAAAGATCATAATGTCGCAAATAACCATGATGCTGTGGTCACTTATCTAGAGCTAGACATCCTGGAGAATGAAGTCAAGTGGGCCTTGGGAAGCATTGCTAACAATGAGGCTGGTGGAGGTGACGGAATTCCAGCTGAGCTGTTTAAAACCCTAAAAGATGATGCTGTTAGAGCATTCCATTCAGTACGCCAGCAAACTTGGAAAACTCAACAGTGTCCACTGAATTAGAAAAGATCAATTTATGTCCCAATCCTAAAGAAGGACGATGCTGAGGAATGTTCCAATTACTGAACAATTGTGCTCGTTTCACCTACCAGCGAGGTTACGCTTAAGATTCTGCAAGGCAGGCTTCAGTAATATGTAAACCAAGAACTACCAGAAGAGCAGGCTGGTTTGTGAAGAGGCAGAGGAACTAGAGACCAAATTGCCAACATTCACTGGATTGTGGAGAAATCAAGGGAGTTCCAGAGAAACATCTGCTGCTTCACTGACTGCATTAAAGCCTTTGACTATGTGAATCACAACAAAATGTAGCAAGTCCTCAAAGAGATGGGAGTATTACATCATCTTGTCTCCTGAGGGACCTGTACGAGGGCCAAGAAGCAACAGTTAGAACCAAACATGGAACAACCAATTGATTTAAGATTAGTAAAAGGAGTACAACGAGGCTGAATATTGTCACCTTATTTATTTAATGTATATGCAGAGTACGTCATGCGAAATGCCAAGCTGGATAAATCAAAAGCCAGAATTAAGGTTGCCGGGGGAAGTATCAATAATCTCAGATATGCAGATGATACCTCTCTGGTGGCAGAAAGTGAAGAGGAATTAAGAAGACTCTTGAAGAAAGTGAAAGAATAGAGTGTAAAAGCTAGCTTAAAGCTTAACATCAAAAAAACTAAGATCTTGGCAACTGGTCCCATCACTTCCTTGAAAACAGAGGGAGAAGAAATGGAAGCAATGTCAGAGTTTATATTCTTGGGCTCAAAGATCACTGTATACAGTGACAGCAGCCATGAAATTAAAAGACGCTTGCTCCTTGGAAGGAAAGCTATAGTAAATCTGGACATTGTACTAAAAAGCTGACATCATCTTACCAACAAAGTTTTGTATAGTCAAACCTATGGTTTTTCCAGTAGGCGAGTCGGACTATGAGGAAAGCTGAGTGCTGCAGAATCAATGCTTTTGAATTGTGGGGCTAGAGAAGACTTTTGAGAGTCCACTGGACAGCAAGATCTAATCAGCCAATACTTACAGAAATTAATTGAGGCTATTCATTGGAAGGTCAAACGCTGAAGCTGAAGCTTAAATACTTTGGCTACATAATTAGAAGACAGGACGGATTGGAAAAGACCTTGATGATGAAAAAGTTTGAAAAGGAAAATGAGACGGCAGAGGATGAGGTAGATAGTGTCATGGAAACAATGAACTTGAGCTTGGTGGAGGATAGAAGGGCCTGGTGTGCCGTGGTCCATGGGGTCACAAAGAGTCAGACATGGCTCAACAACAACATTCAAGTTCATGGGGCTAGTTAGGGGAAGGTCACCAAACATTCTGAGATCATAGATCGGAAGCTCTGGAGTTTTAAGGGAACACAGCAATCGGCTCATCCTGGGTGCTCAGCCTGGGGGTAGCGACCTTGTTTTTTTAAGATGTATCTTTGCTGTATTTCAGTATAATTCATTTCCTTTGTAATTCTCCACATGCATTTATCTACACAGCATTTTAAGGCACATAAAGCATTTAAAAACATGACTCTGAGAAGACCTCCAGAGGTGTCACCAAAGGACCAAAGGAATTGGTCACATAAAAAAAAAAAATGAGGAACCCGGGGTCTTGTCTAATCCTCTCCTTTTACAGAAATAGGAACAGAGCCCCGTACCTGGTAAGTGACTAGCCCCAGGTCACACAGCTTGTGGATGTCAGAGGCAGCATTTAAAACCAGATCTTCTGATTACATCCAGGGCTCTTTCCACCAGAGCACCTGAAGGGCCGCCTCTTAAAATGGGGCACCCAGAATCGAGCACAAGCTCCCAGGCGGGGTCTGCCTGACACAAATAACAGTGAGTGTCTGGCCTCCCATGACGTGGGCTCGGTCAGACCCTGGCTCAGGCTGTTTCCTCACCTGTTCCATGAGAGGGTTGAGCTAGACCGTCACTAAGGTCCCTTCTGGCTCCAACTGGAAGAGGCCATCTGGTCCAACCCTCTCCTTTTACAGATGAGGAAACTGAGGTTCAGACTACTCATGGGACCATAGACTGAAATCTGGAAGGGACCTTAGAGGCCATGAAGTCCAAATTTGTCATTTTACAGATGAGCAAACTGAGTCAGGCTGGTCACTGGACCACAGACTGAAAAGTGAAAAGACCTCAGAGGCCCATTAGACCAATCCCCTCATTTTATGGATGAGAAATCTCAGGCTCAGGTAAAGGGATTTGGGCCCAACGTCACACAGGTCCAAGTAGTTTCCCTATCTGGGCCTTAGAGAACCTCCAATTCCCTCACAGTCTTAGGATTTGACCTCTGCTGATTTTCCCAACTTTGACCTTCTCAGGAAAAGCTGAAAACTTTTTCTACAAAGAATACAAGTGAAACAAAGGCCCAGAAATATCATAGGCCTTTTTCTGGGTCTCAGAGCGTACAACAGCCCAGACCGGAAGAAGCTACAAAGGAGAGAGGATAACTAGAGATGGTCCAACTCTGCAGCTCTACAGACGAGGCGGCTCAGACACCATCACCCAGCTCTCCTGATTCCCAGGTCTCCCAACTCCTAATCCACTGTCCTTTCCACAAGACCATGATGTCCTCAGGTAAGCTCAGAGTGATGGAAAGACCAATGAAGGTCGTGGTGAAGAGGGACCCCCGTGACAGGATGTGTATACATTATCTGCATCCAACGTTTGCATTTAACTTTATTTCTTTGCCACAAAAGAGACTTTGGTCCACTGCATGGAGAGAAATGACAAAAGGCATCAATAAAACTTATTTTTTCTAAGACCAGGCCATCCTCTTTTGACCTGGAGCACCACTTGGTAATGGTCTCCTGACAATGACCAAACACATACCTCAAGGGTCACTTCCCGAGAAGCCTCAAGATCCGTCTTGTTGCCTACCAAAATCACCACAATTTCTTCAGGTTGAAACTCGTTCTCCAGCTCCTTCCACCAGTTCTGGGCCCTGCGGAAAGAATCCTTAAAAAGACAACAGCATATAATAATCTCCTCAGTTTGATTGGCTAGAGCAACGCAGCAGGAAGAGTTGATGTTTTCAGGGGGCTTTCGGGTTGGCGAAGCACTTTGCAAACATCATCTCCACCATCCCTGGATGGTGGGTCCCAATGGGATTATTTCCTTCATTTTAAAAAGGAAGAAACTTAAGACTTAAAGAGATGGGATTATTTATGTAGCATCACAGGCAAGATTCGAACCCAAGTCTTCGGGAGCCAGGGTTCAGCACTCTAGCTGCTATGCCTCTCCGTAATGAGTGCTTACTAAATATGTTGATTTGCTATGATCTCTTATTATCTTGGGACCCTCTGCTCCCATCTGATGTTTGATGCTCTTGTGATTGGGTTTTTTCAGCCATAATCATTGTTCAGCTTTGTTTTTTTAATCACTTATAATTAACACTTACTTCAAACTACCTAATATAGTTAATTAGCCTGTCCCTTGAGAGCTTCATAACGGGGGCAACCATCACAGAATTTGAGAGTTCAAAGGGACCCCGGCAGCAACACTTCCCCAGCGTAACGCAGTGGACAAGTGGCCAGCCAGCCAGCACACCGTGTAATTTTCTCGTGCACTCTGAACATGTGACCTTCCCAGGAGAGCTGGTCTCTGGCCACAGCCGTCCCCAGGAAGAGCCAGAGGGCTGAGACCAAACAACCAGGTAGGGATTTAACTGAAGCCTAGCCTTTGGAGAACGAAGGACAAACAGCCCGATCCCAAGGCAGAGCGCCTGGGGCACTCTGGGCTAAACTGGGATTTTTATTCCTCATTAGAGAGTGTTAGCACACCAGCTGATTTTTTTTTTAAACCAACCTCGGATTTAGGAACAAAAGATGCAACATAAACCCAGGTTATCACCCTGGTCGTAAGCTAAGACCCACTGATGAGAATGAAAGTGCCTCTCGCCCCAGTGACTAACCTAGACACAGCACATGATATTATGAGATTATTCAGTGCTCAGCGTAACTGGATCAGGGCGTATTACGCTTCTCCCATTAGTCACACCCTGTGCTGGACCCTGGGGGATTAAAAGAGAAAATGAAAACAGATCCTGCCCTCATAGGCTCAGGGATAAGAGCTGGAAGCCATCACTGAATCTAATCCCTCATTCTACATATGGGGAAACTGAGGCCCAGGGAGCATAAGTGATTTACCCAGGGTCACACAAATAACAGGTGTCTGAGATGAAGGCTGAACCCAGCTCTAGCCACCACACAGTGCATTCTGCCCAAGGATGTAACATGCATCCAGACAAACAACTACAAATCGTGTGCAGAGTAATCGAGGGACGCCTCATGTGGAAGGGAGCACTGGGGGAGTCTGAGATGCCTTCTGGACATGGGGGCCTGCCTGTGTAAAGTCACAGTGGCGACAGGTGGCAACGTCATAGTAACTGATGGCATTTGTGTGGCTCCATAAGGTCTGCAAAGCACTGTGGGATGTGAAGTCTTGTGATCGTCACAATGACACTGGGAGGTGGGTGCTGTTATCATCCCCATTTTAGAGATAAGTAAACTGAGGCACAGGGAAGGTAAGTAACATGGCCAGGGTCACAACCCTAGGGTAAGGGTTAGGGTTAGACACTTCTGTGTCTAAGGCAGAATTCAAACTCGGGTTTTCTTGGTTCATGGAGTGGAAAAGTACATAGGACAATTTGGTTGGAACATATGTTAGGGGGAGCCATTCAAACTCAGGTGGAAAAGTATGCTGGAGTTGGGTTATGCTTTTAAATGCCAAATAGAATGTCTTGTGTTTGATCTAGAGGTCATAGGGAGCCACTGATGTTCATTGAGCAGGAGAGGAAATGGGTCAGGCCTGAATTTTGGGACTATCCCTTTGGCAGCTGTGTGGACCTCGAGCACTTTCCCCGGTCGTCCCCCAGGCCTGGAAGTTGCCCCTCCTCCTCTCCATCACCTGGCCTCCGGGCTTCCCTCAAGCTCCTGCTAAAATCCCATCTCGTCCAGGAAGCCTTTCCGTAGCCAGCTTCATCCCAGTTAGCGAGTCCCCTCTTTGAATATTTCTTGTTCATCCCGTATTTATCTTGCTTGTACTGAGTTGTCTGCATGCTGTCTGACTGTGAGCTCCTGGATTATTTTTGGCCTTTTTGTATCCTCAGCACTTATAACACTGCTGCGCATAGTAGTTCCTTAATAAATACGGTTAACTAACCAGAGATTAGATTAAAATAGCGTTGGAGAGAGTGGAGGCCAGGAGACCAGTTAGGGGCTACTGTAATTGTCCGGCTAAGGGACAGAGAGGGTCTGAAGAGGGTGGTGGCCAGCTGAGTGGAGAGGAGGAGGCAGATGGGACAGAGGGTGCCTCTGATGAGCTACGGGGTGAGAGGGGAGGAAAGAGGCAGGGATGCTGCTAAGGTCGGAGACCTGGGTGACGGCTGGAAGGAATCCCTGGACTCTGGCTGTACTTGAGCTTTAAAACAAGGAATAGACCCAAAGATCAATCAAAGGCTAAACTTGGGCTGTACAAGCAGTCAGGGGCCCCATACCTTGTCTGCAATATCATAGACCAAGACAGCGGCATTGGCTCCCCGAAAATAGAGGTGGCAGACGCTGTGATATTTCTCCTGCCCCGCAGTGTCCCAGATCTCCAGTTTTAAGGCTGAGCCATCTATTTCCATCATCTGAGTGAAAAAGGCACCTGGGAGGAGAGGAAGCCACAAAGGCCCTGATGCGGAAGCAGGAATTGGCATCCATCCTGAACCACGATCTGTTTTGTGGGTCATCAGGACCAAAGCCTTTAGCACCTGGTGGCCAGATGGCGCCCAGCTGGTCACGTCCCAAGAGCCCCCTTTTTACTCACTATGACGGAGCCAAACCAGGCTTCCAGTCTCGTCCTCCCCTCCCCCACCTTCAAATATTTGAAGACGCTATTGTGGTCCCCACCCCTCCCCCCTCAATTGGTCATCTCTCCTCCAGATCGAACATCCTCAGACCCTTCAAATGTTTCTCATATGACACGGTTTTCAGAAAGCTTCCCCACCACCACCACCACCTTCACCACACACACACACACACACACACACACACACACACACACACACACACGGTCTTGCTAGCTCTCTCTTCTTGACCTTACTGTGCATTTTCTTTCCTGTGTCAATGTTGAATCTCCCTCCCCCCAGGTGAATGGAATCTCCCTGAGGGCAGGAGCTATTTTGGTTTCTGTCTCAGGCTCCCCAGCCAAAGGTCTGGAACACAGTGACAGACTGGAACTAGGTGTATGACTTCCAGTTGAGAAATCTCCCTCTACTGATGCAGGTTGGCCCTTTCCTTACAACATATCCTCCTAGAGAGCTGGAACTTGAAATGTCTCACTCGGGGTCACACCTTGCCCAGACAGCATGTGTCAGAGGTGAAATTCGAACTCAAGTCTTCCTCATGCCAAGAAGGACTCTCTTTGAGACGAAATAGAGGGTTATTTAGGGGATGGGAACCCGTGGCTTCATCTGTTATTTAGCATTTCTTAGGAAATTCCCTCGCCTGGTCCAGGTCGGCTACTGAGAGAAAACCCCCAGGAGCGCTGACAGCTTAACTGACTTTCCCAGAGTCACAGCCAGGATGTGTCCCACTGGGTATACAGTAGGTGCATGATAAATGTTCACTGACCTGGATTGTCTGGAACCCAAGATTCTAAACTCCTCATGAACAAAATCGAGGTCATTTTTCATTTCTGCAGCCTTCAACCAAAGGTTCTCAAAGTGTTGGCCTAGACATTCCTGAGACCCTTGGTGAGGGAGGGGGCAAGACTGTGAGGCCAAAACTATTTTTATAATAATGCTAAGATGTTTTAATTTTGAATATGGTAAATACTGATGGATACAGAGCTAGGTCCCGATTAGTGCCAATAATAATCCCCTACAATGGTTGTGTTAATTGAATTCACACTGCATATTTCCTTTGAGCTGGAATCAATGACCATACTTCACATAATTATAGCTTCAAATAGTGTGGATTTTAATACATGCAACCATGTCAAGAGGTTCTTTATTTGCACCAGTTGGGTCACATAAACAAAAGTTCTTTGGGGGCCTCAGTAATTGTTAAGATTGTAGAGGAGTCCTGACACCAAAAGGTTTGAGAACTGCCTCCCTGGAGCCTTGGATAGCCCCAAATCCATGTGACTGGCATTTCTACAAAGCTATTTAATGGGTGGGGCAGCCAATATATTCCAGTGAAGTTGGCTCTGTCTCTCGCCTACTAAGAGAGTTCTTTCCCCATCTGGAAAACGGTGATCGCCTAGTCTCTATTGATCATCCCTCGGCCTGAACCTTCAGAGCCGGCATACAGGCAGTGTAGGGAACTCATTCTCATCATTTTAGAGATGACAATCATGGCAACTTCCATTTTGCCAGGATCTTAATCAATCAATCAATTAGCCAATCAACAAACATTTTCCCAGTGCCTCCAATGATCCATGCACTGTACTAGAGGCTGGGTTTACAAATATAAGGTGTTTACATTCAATGGGAGAAAACATATACACATATAAATCAATGCCAAATTTACATTAATGCCTTATATTTACACCATAAAGTTTGCAAAATTATTTCCTATCAACAACCCCATGAAGTCAATAGTGACTATTGTCATTATTATATCATTATATATATTATTAGAGTATTATTATCCTCATTTTACAAATGAAGAAACTGAGGCCCAGAGCCATGCTCCGTTCACGTAAACCCAGATCATCTGATTTCAAGCCCAGCATGGCGCCCACTTCACCTGCTGCCTCCACTCATTCAGGATTGGATGCCCTGGTGCTAACTTTGGAAACTGACTCGGGCTGCGTTTTCCACCAGCTGTTCCCAGTGCCTTATGTGGAGGCGTAGAACAAAAACTACTTGACTAAGCAAGTACTTCACTTCTATTCTTTCCCTTTTTCCTTTACTATGAAAATAGCCTCTGATGATGACTGTCTCACCGACCAAGAAAAGCCACTTGGCGTCTCATGGAATATTGTGGAATGTTTTCAAAAATTAAGAGGGAGCCATCGGGTGTATGCTTGCAGAACTTGGATAGCAGTGGCCATGTAGACGGACCAAGACTCCCCTCTGCAACACCTGGGACAAATGCTAACCTAGGCTCCTCTTGAAGACCTGCCATGACAGAGACCTCACTCCATCACCACTTCCCAAGGCTTCCTATTCCACTCTGGGGCAGCCCTAATTCAGAGAATTGTGGGAAGTCAAAGGGATTAGCAAATCCAATGCTTTCCCATCAAAGATGAGGACCCTGGGCCCCAGAAAGATTCAGGAACTTGTCCAAGGTTATACAAGTACTAACTGTCAAAGGTGGGATTTGAATCCAAGCCCTCTGACTCCAAAGTCAGTGCTTAAAGTCCATCTAGACCAGGGGCCCTTTCTCTTTTTTATGTCTTTGACCCCTTGGATAGTCTGATAAAGCCTAAGGGTCCCTCCTCAGAGTAATGCTTCAAGTGCTGAAAATAACAAAGGAAATCAGTTGTGTTGAAATACAGTTATCAAAATAATTTTAAAAAGACAAGTCATGGACACCACTTGAGAACTCCTAATCTGGCCAACCTGTCTCCCTCAAAAGTATCCCCACTCCAATACACCTGCCGACCTTAGCTGGAAGTCTTCCAGGGAAAGGGACACCCTAATTCCCAAGGCAACTCATCCCACTTGGGGACAGATCTCACTGTTGGCCGTCCCTCCTAGCATTTAGACTAAATCCAGCCCTTCATAACTACTATCTACTCCTTCTATGTCTGCCCTCTTGGCCAAGCTCAATGAGGCCAATCCCCCTTCCCAACCTCAAATACAAAGACAAGGACAATTATCATTTCACCCATAATCCAAACTCTCAGGTCTTCTTTGAATAGAGAATTAAGTCCTTTGAATTAAGACTTTGTGTCTATCAAAGCCAGACTCTGCTGCCATGCCAAACAACCTCTGGCCATCTCTGACCCCAATAAGGATGAACCATGGGTTGTTCCTTTCAGACTCAAAGACAGAAGGAAGGCATTGTCTGGTCTCTCATAAAAGGCTGCAAACAGTCATCCCAGGGATGCAGACACAGGCATGACAGTTTCATCTGAATTCACCCTGGGGATTAATTACAGCTTAGGTAGATCTGACCTATAACCGGGTGACTTTTCCTCCTGGAATATGGCGGCAGTGCAGAATATTGGCACCTTTAGCACTTGGTCTGGTCAGAGTGGGAACATCTGGTTCCCTTCAAGTTTTAGCTCAGACATGACCATCTAGAGGAGGCCTTTCCTGACCCCTCGGCCATTCACTGGTCTCACCTTCCATCCACCAGACCCGGAATGTCCTCACTCCTCACCTCTACCTCTTGGAATCCCTAGCTTCCTTCAGGGCTCACCTCAAGGTCCACCATCTTCAGGAGACCTTTCCTGACCCCCCCCCAGCTTCTTGTGCCCTCCCCACCAAAACCATCTTGTATGTTGATATTTATTTGGCTTACCTGATAGGTTGCACAGTGAACAAAGTGTTGCTCTTGGAGTAAAGAGGACCTGAGTTCCAATCCTGCCTTAGGTACGTACTAGCTGGGTGACCCTGGGTAAGTCATTTTCCTCTCTTAGATTCAATTCCTCATCTACAAAATGGGGGTAACAACAGCCTTACTTCCCAGAGTTGTGAGGATCAGATGAGATAACACACAGAAAACACTTTGCCTAGTAAATATTGTCATGCATTATCATGTATAATTTCTATGTACTTATATGGGAGAGTAGGCATAGAATTTGGTGGCCAATGATGTTCTTTCAGTCATGGGGTGGAGGGGTGATTGTACTGACTTTATCAAGTCCCTGGACATTGGAGAGCCTCAGGAAGAGATCTGGAAAGAGTCAAAGGAGTCTGGCTCGTCCATCCGTGTAGGAAGCACTGAAGACAGGAAGGATGTTTGCTACCCACATTTCAGTAGCAGCCTCTGGAGCCTCTAGAGCCTCTAGAACAGTGCGCATGTCTAGACAAACGGCGGAGCCGGGCAGGACGAGGAGGGTGGGCTGATCGCTCCTCTACTGACCCTGAGCTTCCCACGAAAGCAAAAGCCCATCTCTTCAACATTAACATTGTGCCCGTGTTCTGTATGGAAGCAAGACCTAGAACCCCACTAGAACCCCACTGCCTCTAAAGAGCTAAAGAGGAGAATCACACAGGGATCAATGGAAAGGCAGAATAACCCGGCACCCATCCTGACCCTGCCATTTGTTAACAACAGCTAGCATTTCTAGAGTATTTTAAGGCTTTTCAAGCACTTTGCAAACATTATCTCATTTTATCCTCACGACTGGGAGATAGGTCCTATTATTATCCCCATTTTACAGACAGGGAAACTGTGGCAGAGACAAGTTGAGGAACTCAGGGTCACATAGTAAGTACCTGAGGCAGCATTTGAACTCAGGCTTCCTGCCTCCAGGCCCAGAGCTCTGTCCCCTGCCACCTGACTGCCTGACTTAAGTGAATGACTTTGGTTATTTCAGCTCCCTGAGCCTCAGTTTCCTCCTAAGTAAAACGAAGGAATTGCACTAGAGCTCTTTCCTTCCCGCTCCGGAGCTATCACCCTATAATCCACTAGATGTCGCTCTCGCCCCACACAATGGCGCCCAGAAAGCCTTTCCCAAGCGACAGCGGTTGAGGGTGGTGTCCGGCGTAACCGGTGGAGGGCAGTCCTCCTCCTGGGAGGCTCGCCTGAAGCTGACGCCCTTCCAGAGCCCACTGGCCACACCGCGTCGGCCGATGTCGGAGGCCCAGGTCTCCTGCTCCTTCGCTCCATGGGCCCCAGGCTGGCTCGAAGGGGAATGCTTTAATTCACATCCTGTGCTACCCCAGGCAAGTCCCTTCTCCTTCCAATGCCTCAGTTTCCTCAAATGTAAATGGGGATGCCTCCCTCCCCGGGTTGCAGTGAGGGTCTGATGAGATGGCCTGTGTACAGTGCTCTGACAGCTTCAGGGCCCTGCAAATATGGCACCATTATGACAATTATTTATTATGATTTGGAAATGGAAGAGGCCTTAGAGGTCCCGTAATCCAACTTCCTCATTTTCTGGAGGGGGAAACTGAGGCACATGGGAGAAAGTGACATAGTATCATAGGGCATAGCTCTGGAGCTGGAAGGGGCCTACTCAGGGAGTAGGAGGCAGAGCCAGGATTTGAACTCAGGCCCCCACACTCCAAAGTCAGTGGTTTTTCTGCTGTCCCAACATCTCCAGGTCCTTCTTCTGAGGGCCTCCAAAAATAGGAATGGAGATGGCGCCTGGCGTAATTAACATTGGTCTAGAGCTGAAATCGACTCTTCAAGGAATGCAGAGCAGCTCATGCACTGCTGTCTGTCTCCAGAGAGCAGGAGAGACGGACAGCCCTGGAAGATGACCCCGGCCTAGAGGATGATCCAGCCTGTGGCTGGCTGCCTCTGACGCTGAACTGGCATTCGTCGGCTCTCTATTTATTTTGTGTGCCTCTGTTTACTTATCTGGGAAAGGGGTACATCCTCCCAGTGGAATATAAGCTCCTTGAGGGCAGGACCTTGGTTTTTATCTTTGCATCCTCAGGGCCTGGCTCAGGGCCCAGCAGAGGGTAGGCAATTCATCAATATTCACCGTTACATTAATGGATGGATGGAAGGTATAAGATGTAGGTTAGGACCAGTGAGAAGACCACCAAGAAATGCAAGAAGAAAGCACCAGGGCCTCCCAGTAAAGGCCGCCCTTCTTCCCACTGCAGCCCACTAGGCCAGTGAGCTCAAACCTCTCAAGGAATCCCATTCCACCTACAAATAGTCTCACTGTTTGCTATATTGAGCCCAAATTTACCTCTTTGCAATTTCCACCCAATGATGCTCATTGGAGCCTCTGTCAGAGGCCAAGAAAATCCGATCTAACCCCTTTTCCGTATCACAGCCCTTCACACTTTTGTTTTTGTTGGCGTTTGCTTGTTTGTTTTTGGTGAGGCAATGGGGGTTAAATGAGTGTCAAGCGTGTGAGGCTGGATTTGAATTCAGGTCCTCCTGACTCCAAGGTGTGAGCTCTATCCGCTACTGAGCCCTTCACACTCTTGAAGACCACTTCCATACCCAGGCCCCACCTTAGACTTCTCTCGAAAGTCATCATACTTGGCCTCTCTGGAAGGAGGCACAAGCCTCACGGCAATAGTGCCCAATGGTGAGGAGGGTCATGCCCTAACACAGCCAATAGGAAGCTCTCCTCCAAAGGACCCGACACCCTGGCTCCCTGAAATCCAGCCGAACGTCTGAAGAATGCTAAGGAGAAACTCGTCTCTATCTCCTCACCATCCCCACTTAGCTCCATTGGCCTTATCACAAAGACAAAAGACAGAAAGCCAAGCCAAGCCAAGCACTCACAGCCCAGTGTGGGCAGGATTTCCTTGAAGTCATTCTTGATGAGTCGGAAGGCCAGACTCGACTTGCCCACAGAACTGCTCCCCAGGAGAACCACCTTGAAGACGTAGGGCTGCTGGGAGGCGCTCTCAGGCTGGGTATTTCCCTCCATCTGCGCCATGCCCTGCAAGGAAACACAACCCACTCTCAGAAGCAGGTATCAGATGCCCCGAGGGCTCCCAATTGTGCAAACCAACTCACCTGTGACGCCTCCTAGTGACGCTCCAATGGACACGAGAAGAGGGAAGGTCAAAGTCACAATTAGGGGCTCTACGCTGCAGTCATTGTGAGTAGAACATGGCACTCTTCCCTAGCACGATCATCTCAATCAATGGAAAAATAATGCTCAGTTTCCTCAAGTAGTTAATTCAAGGATTTTAAAGCCCCTTCAGGTGGATGCTGGGACGTCAAAGAACGAATAGTGGCTTTGGAGCCAGGAGAACTCCATCGGACCCTAAGGTCTGCCACTGCACTGCTGCATGACCCTGCATGAGCCTCCCCGGGCCTCAGCATCCTCATCTGTAAAATGGGAATACTGATTCCTACAGTACTTAACTGTTTAAGAGCAGCAAATGATATTTTTCACACAGATCACATGGAGAAGCTTAAAGCACTTTATCGTTACCCACAATTAGAGCCAAGAGCCTATGAACGGTTACTGCCTTTCATCCCCCCTAAAACATCTCATAAAATAATAATGCTGGAAGGCACTTTGGAGCTCCCCCAGCCCAGGGCTTCTTCCCATCTTTGTGGCCTCTGTCAGTGTCTGGAGAAGCCCACAGATTCCCCTTCCCAAAAGCATATTTTTAAGTAACTAAAGGAAATGCTAAATTTCCATTTTTGTTCAGTCATTTCCAACTCTTCTTGACCCCATTTGGGGTTTTCTTGGCAGAGATACTGGAGTGGTTTGCTGTTTCCCTCTCCAGCTCATTTTACAGATGAGGAAACTGAGGCAGACAGGATGAAGTGACTTGCCCAAGATACATGTAGGAAGAGAAAAAATCAGGAACCAAACCCAGGTCCCCTGACTAAAAGCCCGAACTCTCTGGCAGACAAGACAATCTGGCCTGACTCTCCCAATAACGCTCACTCAGGCTCACGTCCAAATTCGTCAGCTTCTCTGAGGTTTGTTTTCCCTTTGCCTTCTCGGCTCCCCTGGACGGTGAAAGGCACCATGGTGCAGAGGAAGGAAAGGGGAGCTGGAGTCGAAAAGGCTGCTGCCACCTACCTGGGCAGCCTTAAGCTACATCACTCAGTTTTGTCATCTGTAAAATGAGGTTGGACCAGCTCACTTCTGAGGTCCCTTCTAGAATCTCATCATCTTCTTTGGGCCTCAGTTTCCTCATCTGTAAAAGGAGCCCTTCCAGCTCTAAATCTGTGGTCCTGTGATTCCAATTCAAATTCTGGCAAAACTACCAACTAGCTGTGTGACCCTGGATAAAGTACATCCCTTCTCTGGGCCTCAGTTTCCCCTTGTATATGAGGAGTAGGTTAGACTCAAGAACCTCAAAAGTCCCGTCCATGATGCTACAAACACTGCCCTAACATTCAGCAGATGAATTGGAATTTCAGTTATTTTCAAGAGTTAGTGTGACGCACTTGCCCCCTAAATATTTTTAAAAATTCTTCCCCCCACTCCAAAATCTTCCAAAGCTGTTCATGAGCTCTGACCCTAAAGAGAGACTTGACTTCACCCAAGGACACTTGAGTCCAGCCCTTGGCAGATCTCCTGCAAGTAGGTGAGCGGGAGAGAATATAAGTATGATGGGGGAGGCAGGATGGGGAGGGGGGGTAGGAGGGGGGTCAGAAGGGGGAGGCAGGATGGGGGGGAGCCTTAAAAAAAGGAATGAAGAATGTCGAGAACAGTTTTGAGAGACACGATGTCCCCAGTGAAGATGGACCCCATCACCTGGCCATCCATCCCAAGCAGTGGGATTTTCTCCCTCCTTAGCCCAGAGGACCCCTGCAACCCAGAGCAGTGAGGGGGGTCCCTCTTACAGGTAGGTAAGAACACAGAGTTAGAGCTGGAAGGGACCTCAGAGACCATGGACTATAACCCCCTTGTTTTACAGAGAAGGAAACTGAGGCCCAGGGAGGTAGTGTGATAAAAACACTGAATCACAGATTTAAGGCTGAAACACTCTCCCCACTCCAACATATATGCACACTTACACACACATGCATACACACATACACATACACACAATGCATACACACATGCATGTACATACACATATACACATGCACACATACACACATGATTTTACAGAGAAGGACTCTGAGACCACAAAAGGGAAGTGACTTGTCCAAGGTCACATAGCCAGGTGGGAACTCCGATCTTAAGCTAGGTACCAAAGGGCAGAGCTGAGATTTAAACCCCCATGTGATGAGCCCAGATCTGGGAGGGCTCTTCCCATTTCACTGTCTAATCAGCAATGGTAATTACAAGGTCTAAGGACCAAGAAAGCATAAGCTGGGATCAGTCCCACACCAGAAGGCCCCTTGCCCAGCTCAGTTAGTACCAGGCTTGTGTAAGTGGACTCTGCCGGACCCGGGTCAACAAGCCCAGAGCTGCCCTCCCTGGGGGTCTCCCTCCCCTAGCAGCCCAGCCCCAGGAAACCACTGGCCCCTGGGGGACGCCTGCATCCCCCTCTAGTCACTCACCTGGGCTCTGGTCCTGGCTTTGCACGCAGAGCCTCCACAAGGCGGGTCTGTGGGCCTTTCCAAGGAGAGCAGGCTGCTGGGCTGGAGAATGAGGGCCTCGCTCACTTCCTCATAGTTCCTGGATAACTTCGCCCCAAGCTCTGCAGTTGGCTGAGCCAGGGTCAGGCCCCAGCAGCTCACCTTTCAACCAGATTGTTCTACTGGAACCAAACAGGGCTTGTTTCCCCTAGCGAGGTCGCTGATTGGCCAGCCTGCAGAGGCTAGCAGGGGACAGAAGATGGGACAAAGAAGGCTAGAAGAGGGGAAAGGTCAGCAGGAAGAAAGGCTGCTCTGCCCTGCACCCCCAGCCCCTGCCGGGCTCCCCACCTATGCCCACACCCACACACTCCAACCTAACAAACATCCCAGGGGCAAGGAGAGTTGAAGGTCCACTTGTCAGCCAGGGACAAGGCCAGAGAATGTGGGAGGATCAAGTCCCACCCTGCACCCTGGAATCAGCGGATCAGAGGCTAGCAAACATCAGCCAAAGGGCAAAGGGGAGTTCTTTTCTGATCGGCATCATCATGGGCCTCAGTTTCTTCATCTGTGGGTTCATAGGGCCATTGATTTAGAGCCAGATGGGACCATCTAGTCCAATCACCTTCATTTCACAGACAAGGAAACTGAGGCCCAAGAAGATTCAGTGAGATAAATCTGGAGAAAGAAAAGACTCTTGAGGCCATGCAGGCCCACCTCCTCATTTTACACATAAGCAAACTGAAGGCCAGTGAGTTGTCCAAGGCCATTCAGGTAGCATCAGAAGTGAGGGTCAGACTCGATCTCCCCTGAAGTCCTTTTTTAACTCTCCCTCTGAGAGTCAGTGATTTCAGGCCCCTCTCCTCTGGCAGCCTGATCCAAAGGAAAGAACCCTACATTTGGGGGAAGAGGCCTTGGGTTCAAATCCTCACCCTGCTGGGAAGTCAGCACAATGAAACAGATTTGGAGTCTAAGGACCAGGGTTCAAATCCCAGCTCGGCTACTTAGCTGTGTGATCTTGGGCCAGTTCTTTAATTAATTTCCCTGGACTTCAGTTTCTTCAGCTGTAAAACTGAGAGGTTAGACCGGATGACCTCCAGGATGCTTGCTGGCTCTGGACCTAAGGTCCTACGGAACATATCGTGATGCTGGCTAGTGACTCATCCCAGGAATTGGCAAGGATTGGGTTCGAGTCTAGCTTCTGATGCAGACTAGCCTTTGAGCCGGACAAGTCACTTAAGATGGAGGGCACAAAGGGATTTTTTTTTTGTCTGGCTCTTTGCTTTTAAGGTAGCTTGATGTAAAGGAAAGACCACCAGAGAATCAGGATTCAAACCTTGGCTCTACTGCCTATGAGCTGCGTGACCTTGGGCAAGTGATTTCTCTCTAGGCCTCAGTTTCTTCATCTGTGAAATGAGGGACTCAACCTGTCAAAACGACTCTGAGGTCCTTTCTGGCTCAAAATCTTGGGTTCTAGATCAGGGGTTCTTAACCTGGGATCCACAGACCCCAACAGATTTCAAGAGGTTCATGAATTGGGATGGGAAAAAAAATTCTAGCTTTATTTTCACTTCTCTCTAGTTGAAACAGTGTTTCCTTCAATTACTTAAAAACCTGATTCTGAGAAGGGACCCAGGTGCCTTTGGGAACGTCCTGACTTCCCTTTGTCCGAAGATTTTAAGTCTTTTTCCATCCGGCTTTCCCGTGGCGGGGGAGGGGTCAGTGGCAGAGAGAGAATCCGCACTGCCCCTCCGGGGGCACCAGTGCTTTGCCCTGACAGAGCTTCCAATCAGTCCCTTTCAGGAGTTTCCCATCTTTTCAGAGCTCTGTTAAGAGCAGATTTCCAGCTGGGGATCGCCTTCCAGATCTACACAGCCTAGAGACAGCTCTGCCTCTCGCAGCCCCGCCCCCACCCCCACCCCCCACCCCCAGCCGCGCGCCAGGTGAGGTCACTTAATAATCGCACCCGATTGTCCCCCTGACTTTCTGTGGGAGGAGCTGGAATGCTCTGTGGCCTCTTGCTGGAGGGACGCCCCTCCCCGGCGTCCCAGGGTGGAAGGAGGATGCGATCAGAGGTCTAAGTCTGGAAGGAGTCTGAAATCCACCTGCCCCCAACCGTCTTTCCAAGCCCGCTGCGTGGTATTCGCCCTGCCGCGCTGCGTGTGCGATCCGGCCAAACCGGCTCGCTTCCTCTCCCCGCTCCTCACACAAAGGCTCCATCTGCAGTCTCCCCTGGCTTTGCACGCGCCTGCAAGGCTCTCCCTCCCTCCTTAGCTCCTCCTGGGCAGAGCCTCATTCTTCCTTGAAGGTGGGGCTCAGGCTCTGCCTTCTGTATGAAGCCTTGCTAGCTAGCGGCTTCCTCCCCAGCGGCTTCCTTCCCAGAGGCTTCCTTCCCAGAGGCTTCCTCCCCAGAGGCTTCCTCCCCAACGGCTTCCTTCCCAGAGGCTTCCTTCCCAGAGGCTTCCTCCCCAGCGGCTTCCTCCCCAGCGG